CGAGAGAGGCAGCCTGCAGTGTGTCGATGCGACTGACGGCCTGTGAGAAATAGGCCAGACCAAACCAGGACGGCAACACTAGCCAAGTCTCGACAGCGAAGTCCGGCCGAAGTCCGGGGAAGTCCCTGCGTCTCTGCTCTGCCAGGCCTGGCCAGGTCCGGCAGGACGTCAATGCTGGCGGGGCTGCCAGGCTCGGCATCTGGAGCCAGCCCAGCTCGGCGCCGCCCCGGGCGGGAACCGTCCAATCCCCGCCAACTTCTTTCCCGCCTCCACCAGTCTTCTGGCCCACTGTGCGCCGCGCCACAACACTGTGTAGCGCCTTTCACGGTTTGACAGGCAATGCCGCGATTTTTCAACTCGCCGGTCCTCGGTCCTTGGCCTCGGTTCCTTCCGCCTGGACAGGCGTGGCCGCGCGAGCGTGGCGAACGTGGCGGGCCTGTCGTGCGTGGTGACGTCACGCACAGTGGGCCGGAAGACCGGCGGAGGCGGCCGAAATCCCGGACGCGTTTTGAGCTCCAGAGTCGCTAAGTGGGACTGGAACCGAACGTGTGACCCCACCAATGGATTCCTCGTTCGGCGAGCAATTCAACGGCGGGGTCACACGTTCGATCCGAGTCCCATTTAGCGACTCTGGAGCTCAAAACGCGTCCGGGATTTTGGCCGCCTCCGCCGGTCTTCCGGCCCCTGACGTGGCGATGGTGACGTTGACGTCGCGAGCTGAACCGAGGCCGAACCATGCACCTGCCACACGTGATGGCATGCTTTCGTTAACGAGATTCAACGTACGGCGCCTCTGCTTGTCTTGGCTGGCCGGCTCACGACACGCCGGGCTAGCCGGGCAAGCCGGGCACCACGCTAGCCAACACTGTACCACCACGACTCGACAGCGCAGCACAAGCGCAGCCAGTACGTCATTTTTGTTTTACGCGTCTAGTGGAAAATTCTCCCCTCGCGCGTCAAAACACACGTCCGCACTGTGGGCTAGAAGCCCGGTGGAGGCGGTCGAAATCCCGGACGCGTTTTGAGCTCCAGAGTCGCTAAATGGGACTCGAACCGAACGTGTGACCCCACCAACGGACTGCTCTCCGAACGAGGAATCCATTGGTGGGGTCACTCGCTCCATGGTGGACTGTGGACCACACACGCCCTACACCCTCTCGCTGCGCGGCGGCCAAGGGGCCGCAGGGCCACAAGGACCAGAAGGACGGCCCGGCAAAACGGAGAGGACGCGAAGAAATAGTGTTTCAAGCAACGCACACACACACACACAACCACACACGAAGCGCGGCCTCGGCGCCCCGCACAGCGGATTGCTTCCGAACGGAGCTTCTGTCGCTCTGTCTCTCTCGCTCTCGTCGGGGGCCCTGTAGTGGTGCGAGAGAGACAGAGCGACGCGAGGCAAGTAATTGGCTCCCTGGAGGAAAATGTGTCTCTTTTTTTTTTTAGCGAGTCCAGTCGGACAGCGAGGGCCGTGTATCATATGGTTGCTTGGTCGAGCGGGACGGGGCAGGGCGGGGCGGGGCAGGGCGGGGCGGGGCGGGGCGGGGCGGGGCTGCCTTGTTGAGAGTTCAATATTCCGAAGCACGGCGCCTCACTCAAGTCAGACCCACAGCGAGCCACCACAGAGTCTTCTTTCCACGCAAATGAAAGTCCCGGTCGCACGCAGAATGAGTGGCCAACCTTTCACCCCGGAATCCTCTTGTTTGTTGACGAGCGGAAAAATACACTGGTTTAGTTCCACCCCAGCAGCAAGGGTGCATGGCGACGAATGCAGTGGTGTACGTTTGCAGCGGAAGAGTGGAAAAAAATGCGTGATGTTAAAAATACAGTCGTTCTTGAATTGAGTCGGTCGGGGGCAACTAATAACGCCACGAATCGAGTGGAAAGTATTCACAATGGTTGCCAAAAGCGCGCGCAAAAAAAGCGCACACACAGACTGAAACAGGACAGTGCAGCAGCCAGCGCCGCCACCCTTCCGCAGCCAAAAAGCGAGGCGATCATTTTCCCGCCAAGGCAGGCCGCTATTCGGCCGCACAGTGGGCCAGAAGACCGGTGGGGGCGGCCGAAACTCCAGACGCGTTTCGAGCCCCAGAGTCGCTAAATGGGACTCGGACCGAACGTGTGACCCCACCAATGGACTCCTCGTTCGGAGAGCAATCCATTGGTGGGGTCACACGCTCGGTTCGAGTCCCGTTCATAGACTCTGGAGCTCAAAACGCGTCTAGAGTTTCTGCCGCCGACGCCGGTCTTGTGGCCCGCTGAGTCGGCAGTGGTTCGAAGTGGAGCCCCAAGCCTCGATGCATGATTAGTTTGAAGGATGGCGCTAAGTTGGAGAGGGGCGCCATTCGCCGCGTGGCCGCGTCGTGCCGCCGGGCCCTTGGCTGCCGGGCCACGCAGCGTAGCAGCGCGCGCGCCAAATTAGAATCGCTGAGTGAACAGATTCCACGCCGCGGCGGTCTAGCCAGTCTAGCCCTATGACTAGACTGCCCAGACGAGTCTAAACAACGACCGCGGACTGACTGGCTGACTGGCCGGGGTGACTGAACTGACTGAACCACTGCATGGCCACTGCCATCGGAGACGCGGAACCACGGCGTGGTATCGACGACTCGAGCGCCTGGCCGGCCAAGGTGCGCACTGCGTGGCACAGCGTGGCACAGCGTGGCACTGCGTAGCGAGTTCGATGGTTCGCCTCCACCCGGGTCCCAAGGACCTTTCGTCGCTCCTCTGTCTCTGTCACACTCGTGGGGCGTCCCGAGAGCCAGAACGACGAAACGAGCCTTCGGCAAGGGTCCGTTCATAATCCGGCCCCCGTTTCCAGCGGTCGGACTAACGACCCTCACCCAAGGCCCCTAAATCGGCAGCCTGCTAATGATTCGGTGAACGGCGGGGACGGCGGGGACGACCCGCACCGTGTGCAAACTAGATTGCGGACATGTTTGCCGGCCTTGGGTCCGCCCCTGCTTGCCCCTGGCCCGCCCTGCCCGTGCCGTCCTTCGCGCGAGCCCCACGGCTGTGCCCTTGCTTCCCCAGGTAGCCCCGCCGCAAAAGTACACCCGAAACGTGACCTGAACCAAGAGACTAGAGGTAGCTTAGGTTAGGTTGGGTTAAAATAGGTTAGGATAGGTTATGATAAACTGACAGCCTAGTGTGTACTCAGTACACTTCTATCGTAGTCTAAGGGGTGCACTCAGTACACAGTAAGTGCTCGGTACACACTCGAGTTTTCAGTGCGGGGAAATTGAAGGTTTGGCACCGTTAATTCTGAAATCACCCTGTTGCTCTCTCGCGATCGGTTCACAAGCTTTTCGTCCTGTGCCTTACACAGGCGCGTTTTAAGGGAGGGGGGGAGGGATTCTTAAAACGCCTGATAGTTGGCAACCAGCATCACATGCCCCAGTAGGTAGGCAAAATGTACACAATCCCCCCCCCCCCTGTCGGAGGCTCCTTGAACCGCGCCCGGCCTGACATGGAGGCGATGATGCGCTCTTAAATTTGACGTGCGCTTACCTCACTCTGCAACGGTATCCATCACGGTGGCCAGCTAACACACTGACAGCGCCACGGGCTGCACTTGCGGCGACACGCACTCACGTTATAAACAACAACAAACCACCCCGTTCGGGGCCGCGGCGGCAGTGGGGCGCCTTTGGGTCTTCCGCGGCCGAGCCGGGCCGAGCCGCGCGGGCCCCGAAAGAGGCGCGAACGGGCTGGCGGGGCGGGGCGGCGCGGCGCGGGGCGGCACTAGGACAGCGGCGACTCCTCGTGGCGACCGAGGCGACGGCCCTCGAGAGCCTGGCAGCCTGGCCCCGCGGCCCTAGAGGCCCGGCCCGATGCTGGCGATGCGATGCGACCGGCCCGCGGTCCCCGGTTCCCGATACCACGATACGACGGCCTAGGCACGGCGACGCGGGGGCGCGGGGCCGCCAGTCGATTGAGCAGGCGGAGCGCGCGGAGAGTGGCGCCGCGGCGCCCTGCGTCGCGACGACGCCGACCAACCTCGCCGACGACGGCACGACGGCGGCCTCTGGGGCCTCTTGCTGCCCGGGCGGGGCCCTTCGGTTCGGTCCCCTCGCTTCTGTCCCCACGGTCCGGCGATGGACGAACGAACACTAGGCTAGTGTGACAACCTCTCCTCAACTTCGCGCTGCTTCGCGCGCAATCGGGTTGACGCGGTGCTGTACAGGCGCCCCTCCCCCTCCTTGCCGGCACCCCCCCCCCCTTTCTCCGCAAGCGGTACTTCCCTCCGGCCGACTCACAATCGTCGCGTCGGCAGCGGCCATGCCATGGGCCATGCGGCAGCAGTGGCCAGCACGGCCAGCACGGCCAGCATGCAGTGCAGCGCGGAGATCAGCTGATTCGGAGGGGCGGCGTCAGTGTGAATGACGCGAGAGAGACAGAGCGACGAAAACGACTCTCGGGTTCAGTTCGCAGGCCAACTATCATCGCTGACCGTTTGCGACCTCTCGGCCCGCGGGCCAGTCACCCACGGCCACCCGCGGACGAAGCGAGACTTCGGACGGAATCGGTCCGCAGTGTCTCGAGCCACCAGCCACCCCGCCGTGCTCGCGTTGGTCGTTTGGTCACGCGGCACGGCTCTGTGACATCACTTGGCCAACTTTGTGCGGAAACGTGAGCGATGGCCGACAGGGACAGGCCGACGGCACACTCATTCCGAGTCGTTCTCGTCGCTCTGTCTCTCTCGCACCTATCCGGAACGCCCCGTGAGTGCGAGAGAGACAGAGCGACGAGAACGACTCTCGGAATCAGTCTGCAGGCCGATAGGGCGCTAATGGCGCGTGGCGCAGCCAGGAGGGGGGGGGGGGGGCGGCTTAGAAGGCGACTTTCGTTGGCCCGTCTCCCACATTTTTCTACCTTTCGTCTTTTGTGGTTTTTCTTCCCGTTTTTGCCGTGCCATCTGCAACTGCGTCCTCTGCATGCCAGCCCCAGCCCGAGAAGAGCGTTGCCGCCAAGGGGGATTCGCAAATAAAGGACATGTGTTAGTTTGGAAGATATACTTTTTATTTCAAAGCAAAGTGACTGACTGACAAACTCAACCACATCAAGATACATGTTGCAAGTAATATCACAGTTTTTAGTAGAAGCATGTCCAGGCTCAATGATTGAAGTATCAGCTAGGTTGGACAGAGAAAACGTAGGACTATTATCTGTGCCAAATCAATGATAGTTTTTTTTTTTTAAAAAGAAAAAAAAAAGACTGACTGCTTATGTTTGACAATTAAAATTACAGCTGATACTTATGGATTCCCACAACACAAAGAAGGAATTCCAACTGTCAAGGTGAAGCCCAAAACACCAGCTATAATGACATCTGTATAAGAAACACGCACTTCTGACACAATATGCTTCAACAAGACAATGGATTTATTGAAGCGACCTTGATGGAGTTCTAACATACAGTTAAATAATAAATAAAATAATATTGTAAACATTTTTTACACAGTAGCCTCAGTGCTATAGAAGAATTACTTAATTCGCCTGCTAATAAATCAAATAATTCCTTGCATTAAAGTACCTATACCTTAAATTTAATCAGTCTACACTAACACTGTACAAGGGAAGGTAGGGAAGCCTTTTAATCCAAATCAATCATGATTTGAATCCACATGACTTTCGGTCTTTTCTGCCACAATTTCAGATAAAGCAACTAGGTAAAGCAAGTGACAACAGATAAAAACTCCAATGAGAAAACACACAGAAGAGGGATTCAGAATGCAAGCAGGTTATACAAGACAGCACACTTCTGAAATTTTTAAATTTTATTTTGCATGCAATTGATAAACAAGGTGTGTGGTCTGTCGAGGTACTGCCTGTTGCAAAAGAATCTTACACTCCGGCCGGGATTTTCGACCCCATCGTCTTGGCCCATTCAATTTTGAGGGGTATTGTAAGTGAGCTGATTGTAGATGTCTATTCAAGGTAAAATCAACTCGCTTACTATACCCTTTTAAAATGAACGGTTTGGACGCTGGGGGCGAAAAACCAGGCTGGATTGTCAGAGTCTTTTCCACCCAGTTCAGTACAAAATTTATCACAAAGAGACAGGTATTTACCCTTGAATATTCAGACTATTATATCCAATCTACAACAGCTCCTGTCAGCTGAAGAGTTCCACATTACATACAGCCTTTCCAATTTTATAAATATGAATTCACAGAATGTGAAACAGTCAAAGTACCAAAAGTACATAAATAAGAACAAACAAATTAATAATCAAACTGCAGCATGTAAAGCTCAAGTCAAATAATTAGACAACTGTGAAAAACAAAGTTTCAACTAGCCAGATTTGTCTTTTCCTACAGATTAAAAAATGATAAGTTGCACACCTTTTCAAGACAAACATCTCACAAAACAAATAAATTACAATTGTTAAAACAGAACACTGAAAATCTGGCATCCTGGTCCACTGATATTGCAAGACAAGCCTATCTGAATGAACAATATGTAAAAAGTGAATTCCAGTTAATTTTACCTGACACACATATACACCTTTTGGAAAGGTGAATTAAAGTTTCTTTTGAGATAAGAAATAGAGTATAACTTCCAAAGGGAGGTACAACCAACCAATCAACCGTCTATCTACAAATAGAACAAATATTTACAGAGCAATCACAAAAGAGGTATTGCAATATGTTCAGTGAATAGAAGTTTTTCTCAGCACATTTTTAAGTACAGGACGATACTTCTAAAATATTTTTAACTCTTTCTTTTTTTTTGTTCTTAAGAACTTACCCAATAGGTAAACAATATGATTATTTATATTATACATGCAAATTCCAAGATCCACCATAATAAAAAAAAACAAAGGAAAGAAGAAAAATAGACATTAAACAACCATCTCTCACATTCTTGAAAGAATTGGTCAATGGTGCAGTCTTATGATAAAATGACCTAATGGTTTCTTTGATTTTTTTTTAAAGAAATGCAACTTGGAATAATGCAACAACAGATTACATTTAATTTAAAAGAAAAAGAACTTTTAACAATCACATTCTACAAAAATATTCCTTTGCAATTAACAAACTTGAAAGTGAATCATAACAATAGGTACCTTAAGAGCGACTTGAATTTGAGGTTTTGACTCTTCGGTCACTACGCAATTTCTGACGGGTCATGAGATGATCCAATGATCTGCGGACTGATACTCGATACCTTCTGTTGGCATTGTTCTTGCCAATATCAGACAAGCGATCAAGTTCATTGCACCTTGGTTTTTTAGTTTCAGGGGACTCTGATCCACTTGACGATGTATTCACTTTGTGCTTTTTCTCTTTGGGGTCATTAGAGGCGTTGGGTGCATTTAATTTCCTTTTTGATGTTGTTGGTTTCACTTTGGGTGGAGGAGGGGCTGCTGGTGACTGTGATTGCTTTGATGACCTTGGTCTTGAAGCAGAATTAGAGGAAGACGTGCTTTGAGATGATGTTCTTCTAGAGGGCAGAGATTTTCGTTCAGATTCTTTCTTTGACTTCTCATCATTATAGGCTATAATTTTCTTTTCGATTTCTTTCAAACAGCTTGCAGGCTTTTTCTTGGGTTCCTCTGTTTGTTTCGACTTCGGCACAGGTTTAAATGCTTTTGTCTGACTGGAAGTAGCAGCCTGTTTCTTAACTTGAGTCTGCTGTTGAGGGCGCTGAGAAGCAGCAGAAGAGGAAGCAGTGGCAGCAGCAGAAGAGGAAGCAGTGGCAGCAGCAGAAGAAGAAGCAGCGGCAGCAGCAGGTGCTTGTTTCACACTCTGAGTGGTTGGTTTGGCTGATGCTAGAGACAAGACACGGCGCACAGGCTGGGCAGTCTGAGGTGCCGGCTGCACCTCGGCGCTCTTAGAATTTTCAGAGGCAGACAGTGACTTAGTCCGCCTTTGTTTCAAGTCACTGAGGGTGGGTAGGATGTCTTCATAAGATTGGAAAAATTCATCTCTATCCTCAGGATCTTCAAAGCATGATTCAATCCAGCCCCTGCCCAAAGCTAGCATGGCACCAGACTCTTCAAAGTCTTCCGGACTGAGTGGAACTTCATACAAACAGTCTGCGTCCTCTTCAATCAGGTTCCTCATGGTGCCCATACAGGTTCCCTGACGCAACGCAGCTCCGCAAGTGCAGTGCACAGGACAGTGGGGGACTTTTTGCGGGTCCTCCTGGGTCTGGATATCGATTATAACATTATCACTAGTCTGCGTGCTGCTACGTTTCTCTTTCCAGACTGCTTGCGGAGGAGGCAAAATTTCAGACTTGGTTAATTGAGGCCACCTTGTTCTACCTTGAGCCGAAAATCTAGGACCAGGGGCCATCGGAAGAGAGTGTATTGTGGATTGAGTCCCACCAACCTCCGATTCAGGGGGATCTGATGCTAAGTCGATTACTTCTGGAGAAATAGTTACAGTGGGTGGAGAAGGTCCTTTCCTCGGAGCGACATCGACTTCATCACTATCTGGTATAATCTCAATACTGAGTGACTTGGGAATAGCATTTCTAATTGATAGCCCTCCAGAAGATGGATTTTGAGGCAGTTTCTGAGATTTGCTTGAAGCACCATCAACACGAGTGATTTGAACACCCCAGTCAGTAGAGTTTCTATCTTTGGGTGGACGAATGGAAACAGGCGCTTTGCTAGAAACTAGTTGGATACTAAGTGATGGAGAAACTCTCGTTGCCTCATCAAGCTTCTTAAAATTTTCAGCCATTGAGCATAAAATGTTGGCAGTTGAAGGTGCTTCTGAAGAAACTGGGCTATTCTTGAAGGCGTCTGCCATTAAACTGAGGATGTTGGGACTCTTCTGTGCAGTTTCCGTGCCTTTGCTCGACATCATTTTAGATTTTTCAGACAGTCTGTCTGAAAACCTAACAACAGGACTTCCTGCACTAGAACCTCCTGTGTTATCTAATGGTGATGTACCAGTTCTCTTTTGAGGAGGGTTGATTTCAGCTCTAGTACCCTTACTATTTGCTTTGGAGTTCTCCTGCTTAGAATTTTGTTTTGGCAAAGACTTTACAGGTCTGCTTGGAACTTGGAAGCAGTTCAAATCTTCTTTTGAAAGGCGTGAGCTTCTTCTCACTTCATTCAAAATGCCCACTTTAGAATCTTCTGAAGCTGAACTGTCATTAAGGGTACTTTGATGGCTTGATCGAGTCTGCCTTTGTTCTGTGGGAACAGAGGATGGCTGAGTAGATTCAGCTTGGGTAGCCCCTTCATGATCTGCCATGTACCCAGAATTCTCCCGTGTGTCTGAAATAGGCTGAGACAATTCGGTGCAGTCTTCCACATCACCCTGATATCCTTGAGAACTACCTAAATTCCGTCCACTTCTTAGAATGGATGCTAGAGTTCTTTTAGCATTTTCGCGAAGCTTGTTAGGCGACTTGAATCTGTAGCGTCTCTGAGGAGACTTCCGTAACCGTAATGAAATCTTCTTCTTCCAGTCTTGCACCTTGTCTTTGCTTTGCAATGCTGACTCCTGTCTTGGTGAATTTGAAAAATCTTTCCTCAGGAATGACAGTCTCGAGGGCAGTGAGAGTCGCTTCGGTCCTTTCCGAGACATAGCAAAATCCATTTTTAATTTCATGAGGTTAACATTGACCTCAGTTTGTCTCTTGTAATATGTCCTTCGGGGTTGTTTGAACTCCTTCTTGCTTGAGGACGATGCTGTTGCTAAAGTTTCATCAGTCAAGAACAATCCTTGGTTTAAGGTATCGTCCGACTCATTTGAAACAACAGCGCTCATATGAGGCTTCACAGGTGTAGTGCTGGATTGCTGCCTGATTGCCTCTACAGAGTCATTATTAACAAAACTTTCAGCTTTTGCTAATAAAACTGGTTCAGTACTGCCTACAAGAGAAATAGAACTTGGCAGGCCTTCACTATCAGCATTCTGTGAAACTACGACATCAGTATCAATGGTATCCTCAATCTTCACTACACTGCTGAGGTTAGTACTTTGACCTGCAGTAACTGATTCTGGATAAAGATGTGGTACTTTCCCTTTTGAAGGTCCTGGGCTTTTCTTGCTGCTTCCCATCTTCGCAGGGCTCCCAGCTTTTGCTTTCCTGGGAGATCGGGTCTCTTTATCAGGTAAAATGGGGCTGATTCCTTGCACACAGTGTGCTGGCTGACTTGGAGTGGTGGCTTCTTTTTCTTTTGTCGCAGGCTGCTGGCTGAAGGTGCTGGCCATAGAGCTTAAAATACTAGCAGTTCTCCGTCGCATCCCAGGAGATGCAGGTTTATTTGTAGCGGGCTTAGGAATATTATCTGCTGACAGTCTCCTTTGAGCAGCTGGGCCAGACCGGTTCCTCGTCTTAAATCCTTTCATTTGATTTAAACATTCAAGTGCCTTCAGAGCTTGTTCAGTTTCCTTTTTGACAATCTCTTGGGCAGCATCCCAATCACACGAAAGAGGAACCCTCTTGCGACCTGGGCTGTTGATATGAATGCCATTGAAATTACTCAGGAACAAATTTCCATTGACAGTCTTCTTGGATGCAGCAACTGTGACATTGCAATTCTCAGTAGAGCTGCCAGTTGGTATGGCAGATGCATTGCTTGATGTTCCAACAGCTTGAACTCCAGAAACCACATTACTGCTGCCTACAGGAACTGAATTGGTAGCTTCAACAATGCTCATGCTGGAGGAGTCATTCTGCACATGGTTTGCCTCCTCAACATTTATGGTTTCCAAAACAGGCACCCTCTTCACTTGGGGCACATTTTCGGTAGGAGATGGTATTCGTTCAGCTGTTTTACACGCATTGTTCCTGCTATCATTGGTAACTTTGGTGCCCTTCTTACTTGGGGAGCCTGGACTCAAGAAAATATCTGCATCTTTGACTTCTTTTGACGCTTTTTTCAGCTCTTTACTTGTGGATTTTGTTGGCAAGCTTTCTAAGCTGACTGATTTTCTACCCAAGCCATTCTTTGCTGATTTGGGGCTGACAGGCGAGAGGCCCTGAGCATTGGGACTATTTCTCAAACTCTTTCTAACCACCACCTGCGCTTTTCTTGGGGACTCATTATTTAAATGGCTATCTATATCAGAGCCATGAGAGAGACGCGTCCTGGGACGGCTGAAGACAGGTACCGATGTGACAGAAGCCTTGCTTCTCGTAGTCCGTTTGGATGAGGAAATGTCAGAGACAGAGTCCTTAGAATCATTGACACCCTTAGTTGGACTCTCACATTTAGATCTGTTTCTAGTCATCCGTACATTGCCAGTATCTTCAAAGAGATCTGTTATCACACTAGAGCATTCAGACTTACGGTCCTCGCAACCAACTCCATTCACAGACTCACTTGCAGAGAGGTTCAATTGTCGAATAAGTTCACTTGCTGAGCTAGGCATGTCATAATCATCATCTGACAAAGGCAATTCCACTAATACTCCGTCATTTTCAATCACTGAGTTTTCTTTCACACTAGGATCACAGGGAAGGTCACCCTTGTTACTCAAAGGTCCTAAAATGTCAGATGAGCTTTTATCCATTGCTTTAGCCACTAGAGGAGAGCCCTCAGGGTTCTTCTCTGGACTCTCAAATTTGACACCTTTGGAAGTTAACAGCTTTGGAGCCAGTCTTGTCCAAGATGCTTTGATGTGTTTCCTTGCTTTGTTGTTATTTGTTAGATGAGATCCTAGAGAATCGAAAGGCACAAAGTTCATGCCTTCGTCGATGTAGGTGACACTTGAGGATTTCTTCTCAACACTGACAGGCTTGGGAGTTGGGTGGTACTTGATTTGCAGCAGGGGTAAGTCAATTACAGGAGGCGCAGAAGGAGCACCATTCTCAGAGGCGGGACCACAAAGCTGCAATATTTCTTCAGGTACCACACAGTTGACAGCAGACATCCTATGCCATGGTCCTGGAACAGCAGTTCTGGAAGGAAGAAAAAAAAATTTCAACAAATTAAAGGTGTGATACATTAGTAAATAAAAAGGACTGAACTTAATTTCTTACCCTTTGGGAATTTTGGGTATTGAAATAGGATATAATTTCAAGGGGCGTAAATGATCCACAAATTCCTTAAGCTCATCATGACTGCTGTGATCACTGTAAGGTACAACATAAATATTGCCGCGTTGTTTCTCCACATTTCCACATTCGTACATAGAAGTCAACTTGATTGAAACAGTTTTAGTTGATTCCTGGCAGTGTCTGAAAAAACTAAAAATCAGCAAAAGTTAGAAAGAAAGAAGAAACAGAGTAGAAGATGAAAAATGTATTAAACCGAATCCACCTTTGAGTAATTGTGTGCAATTCAACAGCATGGATTCTGCTTTGAGTTGTATCAGTTGTAAAAACATCCTCATACTCAAGCTTTGATAAGATTTGAAATCTTTGATTCGAAACACAAACTTTTTCCTGTCAACAAAACAAAGCAAATCAAATCAATTTCATTAACATGTTTCAAAAGTTATTACTGTATCTAACATGTAAAGTAAGGTAGAGCTAACTTACATTAATGTGTAGAGCAATGGCTCTTAGAACTTCCTCTTTACCCAGTTGTCGCATTCCAATCAGAATATTTGCATCCGGGTTTTCACTAAAAATAATATCAAAATAACAAATGTAATAGCAGGGCCAGATTAAAACAATTATGATTTAAGCTAATTTTATTGCAGTAATGTACATACTCAATAATCTTCAGAACCTGTTGCAAAGCCTTCTCTCGGGAGGGAAATTTGCAGGTTGGGGCAGCATAAGTATTATCAAGATAGAGAACACTTAACTCCTGAAAGAATATCATCAAAGTAAAGAAACAGTTTAGCCATACATATACACATTTTTTTTTTCTCTCTTGAAATTTTAATGGTCAAGATGACAAAGTTGACTACCTTATTTCTGATAATTGGAGAAAGCACAGGATTCTCTAAAATTTTATGAGTGTACCTAAAATCACCAGTGTACAAGATATTTCCAAATTTGCCTGCAACCAAAAATTTGATTATCATCAGTAAAATGGAACAAAAATCTACCCTTATCACCAGGATGACAATTGTTGCCAGTGGGGAAGGAGTCAAGATGTGCCTACCTTGAAAGAGAAACATAACAGCACCAGGACAGTGATTTGCATCAATAAGTGTGACTTGGAAAGCAATGTCATTATTTGCTTTTCTTATGGTATGAGTGACATTTAGTTCCACTTCTTTTAATAAAATTTGTTTCACCTGCAGGTAGAAAAATGCATTAACAACTAGGAAACAAATTAAATGCACAATTGAAAAACACAACAGACAACCAGAAAAGTACTCGACTTTCTTCCACACTTACATTCCGTCGCATAGGAAGAAGCCAAGCATTGAAAGGTGATGTGTAAATAGTGCGGCTCCAAGTAGATGTTAATCCTGATATGTGATCAGCATGAAGATGAGTGAGGAAAAAGTAGTGTGGCTGAAAAAAATATTTCAAAAACTCAATCAATAAAAGTCAATGGGAGCAAATTTTTTGAGAGCACTCAGGATTGAATTTCAGTGAGGCACAAGGCAAGGGGGATCCTTTATTGTCTCTAGGAGACACAAAAGTAATAAATGAGTGAGAGCAGCCCAATACAAAAGTAAGAACAACTTTCCCCTGGCAACACAGGACTCTCAGGCCCACAAGGCTACTTCTTTCACACACATTAATTTCCTTGAAAGTCAACAAATGCCATAAAGTGACACACGGACGTTGGGACAAGAAACCCCTGGCGAAATGCACAGCCCGGAGCAAGTGGCAGCGACGCCAGATGCCCGATCGGTTCCGCGACCCAGTAAGGGGTGCTAGTCGCGACCGCGACAGCGCTGGGCCTGGCTGGGGCTGGGGTTGCCTTGGGGTTGACGCTGCGCGCAGCGGGTGGGTCTCCGGGGTGCAAATTTCAACGGCGTCAACCGGATCGCCCCGACAGCGCGGCGACGGCCTGCCTCGACAGCAGCATGCCCTTGTCGACCAGGAAAACGCAACGACACAGTCGCCCCTGGCGTCAGGGCCTGGACGATAACCAAGCCAAGCACAACATAACCTCTCCCTCTGGCCCTGGACGGGACGGTCTGGGCTCTCCGCTCACCTTGCAGCCAGGACGTCGCAGGAACGAACCGTCCCACTTGTCCACCACGATCACGAAGTCCTCACTCTCAATGCAGTGGCCGCCCATTTCGGGGCCGTTTGTTGGTGTAGGGCCAAGGGGCCAAACCACGTAGGCCTTAGGCGCTAGGCCTCTCGCTGCGGCACAGAGTCCCTCTCCCGCGACTCGGGCGATTTTTCATGATTTCCAGCGACGGCGGGCTGTCCTCTTCTTGCCTCAGCACTCGATGACCATGACAAGCGCCGTGGCCGTTATCACAGCATGAAAACAGCTTGGTCCGTGTCCGTGCCTTCGTCCCGTCGAGCAATGGCCTCAACTCCCCAGCGCCGAGCTCGCCCGCTGTAGAGCGCCGCGCCAAGCGGAGCCAAGCTTCGTCGCCCAGGCTCGGCCGCGGGGCGCGGGGCCGCGCGCCAAAGCCGCTGCTGCCGCCGCCACCGCTGCAGTGGTTGCGGGTTGCGGGGTTGCAGAGATGCAGAAGGATGCGCTGCGGCTGCAGCACTGTGCGGCCCGGTGCAGCCAGCGTCTCTGTGTGTGTGCGGGCAGCGCAAGTGAGTGCAACCCCCGCGGTACCGCGGTCTGCGGGCCACCCTAGGCCGCCCTCGTCTCGTCCCCTCGCGGTGTCGCGGTGCAAGGGCGGTTTCGGCCTTCGGCTCGCTGGGCCCCCCAGCCCTCTGGGTCCTCGCTGGTCCTTGCCGCCCTTGAAGGACCGCCCTGGCCCTGGCAGGGCCGCGGCGAGTATCTAGGTCTCCTCGCGCGTGACCGCCTTCGGCTCTCTCTCTCGCTGTCTCTCTCGCACTCCTACGGCACGCCCCGTGGGCGCGAGAGAGACATTGTTGCAATGTTCGGCCGGAGGTGGCGGCGTGGGCGGGCTTGGCACGCGGAGCGTTCCGGGTGAACTGGCGTGGGCCCGGGTACCGGAATGCGTACCGGAATGCGTACCGGAATGCATAAACCGAACCGGATCGTCTCGGGTTTCCGGTCCCAGAGGCCAGAGGGCCTGCGCAATAAATGACTTGCCGGGGAGCGGCGAGGCTGGTGCAGCGATTCCCCCCTCCCCCTTTCCTGCACACCTTAATTACGTCAGGTGGGTTTGGGGATTTGGCGCTCAAGTACATACATGATGTGCTTAATTAGCTTACGTCACACCGCAGCCCCCGGACGTACAAAGGTAGGCAAAAGGTCACGCTGTGCCACCAAGTGGCTAAAAAAGGGCTACTTTGCCCGTCTAAGGTCGGATCGGGACCCGCCACCTCGCACGGCTCTGGGTGCGTTAAACTCCAAGGCGTGGATCTAAGACAGCCGCGAGACAAGCGAGCTGGCCGGGGTGGAAATGTTGTCCCATTCGCACGCTGCATATCGATAAGCATCTCGGGGGCAAGGGGGAGGAGGGGCACAACATCGGGCTGGGGCTGCCCGCCAGTCCAGTCGGTGGCCGGCGGGGCGCACAGTGGGCCAGAAGACCGGTGGAGGCGGACAAAACTCAAGACGCGTTTTGAGCTCCAGAGTCGCTAAATGGGACTCGAACCCGCGGGAAGTAACGCCTTCGCACGACGTGGTCGCGGTGCCGCGGTCCGCGCCCGCCTGTCTGGCCATGCGAAACGGCTCTGCGGGCCCACGCCGCTCCGTCTCTCTCGCACTGGCGGAGCGTTCCGTAGGGTGCGAGAGAGACGGAGCAGACGCGACGCCCAGCGCCGCTCAAGCTCGACGTCGGCGTCCGCCTGGTTGCCTAACTCGGCCGTTGCAGGCGCTCCTCCTCCGTCGCGCTACACTCTCAGGCTTCAGAGTGAGAGGGAGAGAGAGAGAGAGAGAGAGAGAGAGAGAGAGAGAGAGACGCCAAAAGAACGCGAACCGAGGCGGGCGCAAACAGGATTACCCAGAGAAAGTGCGGAGATTTTTGGTTTCGTTTCTCGGTATAGGCAGAGGCGCGCTCTCTCTCTCTCTCTCCCTTTTGTACCTTCACCGGACAGGTCGTGACTTGTTCGTAGCAACCTTTCCGTCGCAAGGGTCTCTCCCTTCCCCGACACCCCCCCCCCCTTCCCCCTTCCTTTTTGTCTCCTCGAAAAGGGTTGGTGATGACCGTTCGTTGACGTCGCATGTCTGATGACTCATTCCACAATAAATTACGACCAATCATCTACATCCATAGAAAGATCATGTAGGACTAATTAAAATTCAATTACTGGTGGATAATGTGCTTCTTAAAATTTGCAAGTGTCGTCAAAATAACGGGGATGATCTGGACATTGTGTTGACTTGGAATGGTTTTTAGAGTCATTCGAAGGATTTCGTCACAGCAATGCTTGAGGCGTACTGCCTGCTGCCCAAGCTGATTGAGCTGCTTTACCAATATTTAGTTGGATGTGATGTTGGACAGGGGCTCCTGGCCGATGAACGTCGCCCACGACTTCCATTCTTTATCGTTTATTCGTTTCATTTGTTCCTCTGAATGTACATTGGTAGGTAAGTCTCGCCGTGCGACAGGGAAGACAAGAGGAGGAGGGGAGACGTAGCGAGAAAGACAGAGACAGACATAGGAGACGGACAGAAAGGCACAGACGGATAGTACAAAATATACATAAAGAGACTAATTAAAATAAATAGAAGCTAATTACAACGTTGACTACACCGCGTTAGACGCGCACGCCGGGGGCCACTGGGGAGGTGATGTTGAGGCCGGACTTCTTGCGGGGCTCCAGGGAGATCTTGAAGCCGTCCGCCCGCTTCAGGATGATGTCGGCGGTGAGCTTGAAGTCCTTCTCGGGGATGGTGGCCTTGATGCGGTAGTTGCGCAGGATGGTGGAGAGGAGGATCTTGAGCTTGAGCATGGCGTACTTGCGACCTGCGGGACAAAAAGAAGCGCGTCAGGCATTTTGAACGGGATTCTGCGCTGGCGCGGCTGGCGCCGCGGGTAGGCGGTAGGCGACCGCGCGTAGGCGATAGACGACCCCGGGTAGGCGTTGGGTTGCCTACCCCGCCGGGCGTGAGCCGAGCGGCAAGCCCGACGGGGCGGAGACCCAGGCGGAGACCCAGGCGACCCGGACAACAGAAAGGGGTGGGGATCGATCGAGCTACGGCGATACAGCTGTGTGCGAGCGAGAGGGAGAGAGCACGCGCTGGTCCGGGTCGTCCGGGTTGCCTGGGTCACGGGGGCAGCCCGGCAGGCGTGTGTTGGGACGTACCGACGCAGCTCCTGGGGCCGGCGCTGAAGGGCACGAAGGCGTAGTAGTGGCGGTTGGCGGACTTCTCGGGCAGGAAGTTGTCGGGGTTGAAGACGGTGGGGTTGGGGTAGATCTCCTCGTTGCGGTGCAGCTTGACGGTGGCCACGACCACGGTGCAGCCCGCGGGGATGGTGACGCCGGTGGAGGCTGCAAACACCGAGCAGGTCAGCGACGGCCAAAAGGAAAAGGGGAAATGAGCCGCGACTACTCACCCATCTTGACTTCCTCACGCAGCTGGCGGGCGATGATGGGCACGGGCGGGTACATGCGGAGAGTCTCCAGCATGCAGCGCTCGAGGTACTTCATCTCCAGGGTGTCCTGGAAGGTGGCGGGCCTGTCGGAGTCGCCGAAGATCTGGTCCAGCTCCTCCACGACCTTGTCCTGGATGTCCTGGTGCAGACCCATCATGCACAGGAAGAAGGAGCTTCCGGCGGCGGTGGTGTCGTGGCCCTCGAACATGATGGTGTCGACCTCCTCCTTGATGTCCTGGTCGGTGAGGACCACGCCGTTCTGGGCGGACTCGATGAGCAGGTCCAGGAAGGCCAGACGCTTCTTCTCGCCGACGTCGTTGTCGTCGACGTCCAAGTCGTCCTTGAGGCCGGCGCTCTGTCCGTAGGACATGCCGCTGTCCTCGACCTTGGTGGTCTTGGCGGTGGAGGTCTCGGCCTTGGCGGTCTCGGCCTTCATGCCGGGGTAGCTGGCGAGGGAGCCGCGGACGCCCTTGTTGAACTCGAGCTTCTTGTTCTTGATGACGCGCTTGGTGAGGCCGTGGATGATGCCCAGCAGCTTGGTCTGCTCGCTGAAGTAGCTGGTCATGCGGAAGATGGTCTCGGGGCGCAGCCAGAACTTGGTGTGGCGCAGATGCAGGATGTCGCACATCTTCATGACGGCCATGGCGTACTCGAAGCCGGACTGCTGCTCCTTCTTGCTCACGCCCATGGCGGTCTCCAGCAGGATCTCCACGGTGGCCTCGCTCATGTACTCGTGGGCGTCGAACTCGTGGCCGACCTCCTTGCGCAGCTTCTCGACGACGCCGCGGCTGTTGTGGTTGAACAGGTCGATGAAGGACTTGAGGACGTTCAAGTGGAAGGTGGGGGCGATGAGCTTGCGGTGGCTGCGCCAGTGGTCGCCGGTGGAGATGAGCAGGCCGTTGCCGAACCAGGGCTGGAAGTAGCGGTACTCGGTCGACTTGTCCAGGTGCACGTTGCTGCTGAGGATCACCTCCACGTCGCGGGGGTCCTGCAGGAACACCATCAGACGGGGGCCGATCCACACCTTGACGGGGGTCTCCGAGGAGTACTCCAGGGAGCGGTTCCACATGTTGATGTAGATGTCTGGAAGGAAGGCGGGGTGTCAGTGCCTCACAGTGCCGTTTCAGAAGGGCGACCAAGTCCTGCACCACTGCACTCACCGTTGGCGGAGCCCATGAATTCGAGGGCCGAACCGATGAGCGGCAGCCCCTCGGGTCCGGGGATCTTGGCGGCGAGCTCATAGAGGCGCCTGCGCTGGTACCGGAAGTAGGCGTACCACAGGATGACCGTGGGCACCAGGAGGTAGTAGAAGAGGCCCGTGGGCGTGAGCAGGTCTGTCACCGCCATTTTGTTGGGATCTGCAACAACAAGTGTGCCAGGTGAGCAGGTCTGTCGGCGCCATTTTGGCGGGATGTGCGAAAAACAAGTGTGCCAAGTGCGCGGCCGAGCCCCAGGCCGCCCCGGGCCGCCCAGGTCAACACGGGGACACCGTCCCGACAACTTGAGTTCGGCCCGGAATTGTTTTTCTAGCGCGACCCCGCGGTCACTTCCGGTCGGATCCCTTGTATGCAAAACCGAACGCGGCGCCGCGGCGCGGTGGCTCCCCGGGCCTCTTCATTACAATGGCGGGTCGATTCAAATGCAGCGCCGGGCAGCGCGGCGAACGAGGCCCGGGACGACCACCAACCCAACGAACACTTGTCCGTACTTATCTCCGCTCAACGACCGTTAGCATGCCTTCATTCTAAAATTCGATTTCCGAAATTTCTCGTCGCGCGCGTGCAGCTCTCGAGAGGCGCTGCATTGCCGTCCGGTTGCCGCGGGCTAATTCGATGTATCGAACTCGAGTTCGAGTTGGCGGCGGCTAATGGAATCGCCCCGTCGTAATTAATGCAGCCGGCTGTTTTGTTTTCACGAATTGCCGCCAACGAATTTCAAATCAGGCCTGTGTCTCTGTCCCTCTCCGCCGCCCGTCGCCGCCACTCGGACTGCACGAATCAACGCACGTGGAGTCACGTAAGGCTACGAAAAGCAATGTAACAGGGGGAAGTCCCCCCGGCCCTTTTCACCAAGTACTGTCCAGTTAGTAACTTCAAAGCATACAGTACTTTAGATTATCAGAACCTCTTCAAAATAGATTACGAGTTACGATAAAACAATATTGCGTCAATTGTAATTGTGCATGAAAACCGTCGGGCCCTTTGAGCTAATCCGGCCCTGATCTAACCTGACCAAATCTCGTCTACCCTAACTTTTACCAATTGGACTGACCAGAAAAAATTTTGCTCGTAACGGAGACTGTCCAGGGAAAGTGGAAGTTACTGAGGGAGTTAAAAGCGGCAACGAGCCAATCAATTTTGCAGGAAATTCTGAGCTACTTCGACGAAATTTAGTTTACAACAACACGTTTAGCGGAAACACTACAGACCGTGGCGTCTGAAACTCTGTTGAAGCGAGAGACACAAGCTTTCGGCCTGGTAGGGCTGAACGAGACGAGATAATTCACTCTGGAGAATGGCTCGCAACAAGCAAAAATGACATGTACCTGGTCTGGTTCCGCTCTGAATCTACCGAAACCAAACAAAACGTTTTCATTCGAAAATCCGGACACTGCTTTTAAGAATAGATCAACAAGTCACAGAACGTGTGACCAAAAAAATAAATAAATCAAATATGAATCAAAGAAGTTAAAACTAGAACTCGGCACTCCAGCGGGATTTGAACTCGCGGCCGTTGATTTGTTGAGCTCGGAGCACTTTCACGATCACACACACACACATACGCACACACGGCGGCACACTGCACAACGACAAGTACCTTATGTACTAGAGTGGATGTCTTGAGTTCTCGACGGGTTCCCTGTAAGCCCACAGGCTGAACTGACCCTCCGGAGGTGGAGCCCCACTTTTTAATGGTTCAGGTACCCCCGGCTCGGGGCGGGGTGGCGGGCAGGGAGGCGCGGGGCGGCGCGGGGCGACGCGAGGGTCACGGGGCTCGCTGAGGGGTACCGGGGCACCGAGGGGCTGGCCGAATGTTAAGGAGTAGCGTCACGGCTGTTCCCCGCCACGCCGCGCCACGCCGCCGGTTGGTTTGTTCGTTTCCACTCGATGTCACCTATTTACCGCAGGAACGCCATTAAAACAACAAAAAACGATTTAAAAACGGGAAGGCGTCTTAGATGACCGTCTTTTGCCAACCAGTCGTCCAAACACACCCGCCCCTTTCTAAAGTACGAGTGATTGGTGGGCAGCAGTAAACTCCCATAAAAAAATTGCCATTTAAAAACTTATTTTTAAACAAATAAGTGTTTTATCTGAGGCCAGAAGAATTTTTTTTCTGAGTTAGAATGTGTGCGTAAAGCGCCCGGCTGCGCTTGTTGTGCAGACGAGAGTGCACTCGTAGCACAAAATTGGTGAGAATGAAAGAGTTCTCCGACCCCATTTTCTGAAATCGGGCTGGGGGAACGAGAGCGTGGGGGACTGTGTCTCACTAACTACCTGCTTTCCGCGGCCCCGATCGAATCGATGCCGTGCCGTGCCGTGCCGTGCCGTGCCTGACGTCAAATGGATGTCCCCACAATTAGCTGACGTCCACGAGTGTCGCTTCAGACTTCAGAGCCACGCCGGCCGCGACGCGCGGTGCACGGTGCGTGCCACCTCCCTGCCCTGCCGGCCCTGCCGGCCGCAATGCTGCTTATCTTCCAGATTCTCAGATTCTCGGCCGCCTCGCCACCCTTCGTCCGCCGCAGCGGCTGTCTCTGTCGCACTTGTGGGGCGTGCGAGGGGTGCCAGAGAGACAGGGCGACGCGGCACCTGTGGGGAACCGGCCACCGGCCAGGTGCTCTCCATGGGCTTGGAGGGCGACTCGTGGCGCGCGGCCGACTAGACTGTGCGGCCCACAGTGGATTTGCCAGAAGACCGGTGGAGGCGGCCGAAACTCGAGACGCGTTTTGAGCTCCAGAGTCGCTAAATGGGACTCGAATCGAGCGTGTGACCCCACCAATGGATTGCACTCTGAACGCGGAATCCATTGTTCCACACGTTCGTTTCGAGTCCCATTTAGCGACTCTGGAGCTCAAAACGCGTCTGGAGTTTTGGCCGCCTCCACCGGTCCTCTGGCCCACTGTGCGGCCGCGGCCGGCGTAGCGCGTAGCCAGGCGGGCCGGGCCGGCGGCAGGGCCCCGCGGCAGTAGGCAACGCCGGCTCCACGACGCACAGGTGTGGAGCGGGCTGCCTGCCGCCCTCCTGCAGGGGCCCGGCTGGGCGGCTGGCAGACTCGGCAGGGAAGCACAGGACGTGAAACGGTCGGACTGAAGCACCCCAGAGTCTAAAATTCTACACGCGGTCTGAGCTCCAGAGTCGCTAAATGGGGCTCGAACCGAACGTGTGACCCCCACCAATGGATTGCTCTCCGGACGAGGAATGTGCGAACTCTACTTACTGACGAGGCTGTCCATCGCGGACTGTCGCGGACTGTCGCGGACTGTCGCGGACCTGGACCGGGACGCGAGTGTCGCCGCGGCGTGCCGGACAAGCCTTTATAATTTCGGATCGGCTTTTGTTGCTGCTCTTGTTGGATGCGGTGATTGGGGTCCGCGCGACACCGGCGACCACGGCTCCGCTGCGGCTGCGGCCGCCGCCAGATAGACCGATAGCTGGAGCGCTGGAGCGGAGCGCGGAGCCGGGAGGGGCACCACCCCGCACAGTACAGTGGGCCAGAAGACCGGTGGAGGCGGTCAAAATCCCGGACGCCTTTTGAGCTCCAGAGTCGCTAAATGGGACTCGAGCCGAACGTGTGACCCCACCAACGGATTGCTCTCCGAACGAGGAACCCATTGGTGGGGTCACACGCTCGGTTTGAGTCCTGGTTAGTGGCGGTGGCGGCCCGGTCGCTTGACGCCTTGCCGCCCCCGCAGGCCCCATAGGCCGCAGCCCGGCGGGTGGGCCACCCGTTCGACTGCGGTCACTGGCACACTGGCACTTGATCGGCGCGTCATTGCCTAGCGGTTCCAAGCCCGCCACTCGTGGTTGTGCAGTTTGGAACGGCCCCCGCCCCGACTCACGCAATGTCGGTGATGGCCAACGCCCTACGTGACGCCTCTGTCCGTGACTCAGTTTGGCCCAAAATTTCCCCTTTTGCCGTTCGGTGCCCTCGAAGGCTCTCGCCTCATCTGTCACCGCGGCCGCTCGCGAGCACAGCGTCCCTTCAACCGCAACGCCGCTCTGTGATAAAAATCCGTGAAACTTGAGTTGGAATTTCAGTAACATTTCTGCTGCATCACGGATCGTTCTGCGGTTACAACTATTCCACCGGATGGAGTGAAAACAATTCTTCCGCGGAAAAACCTCGCGCTAGACTTTTTCAGCCGCCCGTGGATTGACAAAGTTGTGTGTAAATTGACCCGACCGAAGCACTGTCTCGCCGGTCAGCCAATTAGTCATGTATTTTTTGTGACAGTGTAGGCAAGTTGATGAAGAGCGGCGCGGCCAGTGTGTCGCACATCAGCCAGCGTTCTAGCGTCGCTTCGCTTGCTATTGATAGAAGTTTCCGAAAGCATCCCAGACGATCTCAGCTCCGGAGCCGCGTCCGGAAGATGGCGTCAGAGCGTGGAACGTTTCCAAGCAAGTCTAAATAACCCGCCCTCCGTCAAGATTTCCAATCATGGTTCGCGACAAAAAGCAGCAGACACGGCGAATCGTTTTGGCTCATGTGAGTGTTCAGGTAAAGGCGAAAAAAAAACGAGGAATAGCATTAAAATTCATATATTTAAATAACTTACAAACATGGCACCTCTATCATAATCACTAACGACTGGGAAACATACAAGGGCTTCAGAAACTCAAGTAAAAAAATAATCCTTAAAATCTAGCAAAGTGGCCACTGCTGCAGCTCCACACAGTGGAGCCGCTCGTAATGATAAACCTTAACAATAAAATTATGTACAATCTCAGTGCGGGTGGCGGCGCGGCTTCGCCAAGGGCTTGGCCTCGACGTCCTGGGCGCTTCAGTCCACCTTGACGGGGACGATCCTCTTCTCGCGTTCGGCCTGCGCCTGCGCGCACTGGGGGCACTGCGCGCGCGCCGTGCCGTCACCGCCGGCTGCAACAAAAGCAAAACAAGTTCAAGCACCTTCAGGATTTAGGCATTCCGCAGCCGAAGTGGTTCACAATGCCGCAGCCAATGGGACGCGGGCATACGGGCGCACAGTGGCGGCCAACGGCCTCCGCGGCCGTCATGCGGGCACTCTGTCTCTGTCGCACTCGTGGGGCGTCCCGAGTCGGGGCGAGAGAGACAGAGCGACGAAAGCACTGTTCGGCATCAGGCCGCAGATGAAGTGATGTCCGAGTGTACCACCAACCGGCCGCACAGTGGATTTGCCAGAAGACCGGTGGAGGCGGCAAAAACTCTAGGAGCGTTTTGAGCTCCAGATTCGTCAAATGAGACTAACCGTACTTGTGACCCCACCAATGGGTTGCTCTCTGAACGAGGAATCCATTGGTGGGGTCACACGTTCGGTTCAAGTCCCATTTAGCGACTCTGCAGCTCAAAACGCGTCTGGAGTTTCGGCCGCCTCCACCGGTCTTCTGGCCCACTAGTCACCTCACAACAAAACAATCCACTTACTGGCTGCGGACGCGGTCTTGCCGATGAGCTGGCCGACCTCGTTGATCTTCTGCATGCCGTAGCCGCACACTGAGCACACGGCCCCCATGACGCGGTCGTACATCTCCTTGGGCGGCAGCTTGACGGCGGGCACCTTGCTCTCCACGAAGTCGATGCCGGTGCAGAGCGCCGAGTCCACGCGCTGGATAGGGCCCTGCAGGCGCGCCGCCACGGGCCGCCCCACTTCCACGGCCTTGTTCACCGCGCTCTGGGCAGTGCTCTCGGCCGCGCCGAGCGCCGCGGACACCACGGAGTTGGAGTCCTGCGAGCAGTTAGACAAAGTTAGCGATTTCAAACCCATACGCGTCGAGTGAATGACGTGGTTCAACATTCATTACCAAACCAAAACAACCCTCCAGCCTCGCAGACGCTCACCTTGACCTTCTTGTACATGTCCGAGGCCAGCCCGATGGTGCTCTCCACGACGGGCAGCTGCGTGATCTTGTTGACGGACTCCAGGCCCATGCCTCCGGCGGGTGCTGGTACGGCGGCCATTCTGCAACAACAACAAACAATTTAGCGCCTCTGGAGCCCAAAACAGTTCTTCTGGCCCACTGTGACGGGGGCTGAGGGCGGGATGGGCGGGTGGATCCATTCAATGACAACAGAGCCGGGCCGGCCGGCCGCGTGGCGTGCCCGGCGGGCCGACGCAGACCCTTGGACTCCATTCGACCGTTGCGGCGTTGCGTCATCGCCACCAGGACGAGAAGGCGGCCCGGCTAAAGGCCCGGCCGGCCGGGCGACATGCTAAGCGGCGGCCACACCGCCGTCACGTTGCCTTCCAACGAGGAAAACAAGCAGGGCGTCGAGCAGGCCGACAAGGCGGTCCCAGTGGACTGCGCGGCACTCTGGGCGATAGAGACGCGGTGCGGCGGGCCGGCGGGGCGGCGCCGCCGTGCCGTGCGTCCAAGTCCCGGGGGCGGCGGGTTATCGAGGACGTCGCCGTGCCCGGCCGGCGGGCCCACACGTGCACGGCGGCTGCGCGGTGCCGCCCCTCATCCAGCCGATAATACAATCAGGCAACGTCACATGACGGCGGCACCCTGGGCGCGGCACGACGGCACACTTTCGCCTCGAGGACGTACGAACCGGCACGACACCGCCGAGGTGCACGCGCCGCGACGCAAATGCGGCACCGGCCGGCCGGCGAGGCGGACAGGCGAAGCACTAATCAAACGACTCGCTAATCGGCCGCCCCATTATGCATTCCGCGGACGGGACAGGTCAGGGCGAGGCGCAGCGAGGCGTCGACGGCGTGCTCACCTGGTGTTGTTGGAGTCGAAGGGGTTGTCCGTCACGGAGTGCAGGGCAGCAAACAGGACGCCGGCACGGTGATGCTGGGGCTGTCAGGCTGTGAGACGCGACTGAACTGCAGTGGCGGTGGCGGTCGCTCGGATGCGTGCTGTGGCTGTGCTCTGGCTCTGCGTTGCGTGCCGTCGACACCGCCGTCCGCCGGCACCGCCAGGGCGCCGAGAGGGGGAACGGGCTGCGTGCGGGGCGCGCCGCGTCCTGGTCCCTCCTTGCCGCTCGGCAGGCCCGGCCCGGCAGCGCGACGGAGACGCGCGGCGTCGTCTCGGACGCGGCCGTCGATCAAGCAAAGGGTGGGGGGCCGGACGGCCGGACGGGGGGCGGAGGCTGGTGGAGGCGGCGGAGGGGAGGGGTCCCTCGTCGCCCTCTCCTCTCCCGGCGACGCGATTTCGGGTTCGGGTGCCGGCGTCGACGCGGCTCGCCACGGCGCGGCCGCGTCGTCGGCGTCGTCTGCTGCAGCGCAGGGGCGCGTCGCCAGCATCCGCGTCCGAGGCTTGGGTGTCAACAGGGTCCTGTACAGTGCACGTGCACAGGACACGTGGACTTTGGAATCCTCGCACGCCTTGACATTGCGCCATGCTGGGTGCTGGTACTTCCCTGTAGGGCCTAGCAGTGCCGCAGCGTTGACGAGACACACTGCCAGCGCTGGCCTGGTGGAACCTCGAGGTTGAGATGCACTAGAGAGGGGCCCTCGCGAACGCGCGGCCCGCGCAGGGGCCTGCCTGCCTTGGCGCACGTAGCGCCGCGACGACCCCCCCCCCCTCCCTTTTCTAGTGCAGCGTGCAGCGCGCTCGTCGCCGAGTGCATCCGCGTGTAGCCGTTGAATGATTTCATTGAGCGTGCTGGTGCCACTCGGCGAGTCCATTCCGCACAGCGTTTCGTCGCTCCGTCTCTCTCGGCGAGAGGGAGAGGGTGTCCGGAACCAGGTAGCGGTGGGTCCGCGACCCGCCGATCCACATCGCGGTCCGAAGTCCGACTTCGTACCCACCAAGACGGCGGCGTGACTCACCGGGGGCCTAAGGCAGCCCAGGCGGCCTTTGGACCCTGGAGCGCCGCGACGCCTCGTCACGTATGACGTGTCTGTGACGTGGCCGTCGTGTCCGCCGCGCTACCGCGCTGACGAAACGAGCGTCCTGGTTGCGGCACGGCCGGCACAGTCGAGCCGATGACAGGCGGTGCAAGTTGCAGGCGCAATGCCTCGGGTAAAAATGCAAAGACAAATTTTTGAAACTGTCTCACACCTGCTCGGAGAAAGGATCACCCCCACAAAATCATAGGTAAAAATCTTAATCGGCTTTTATTGAAAACAATTGACATACAAGGGCACCTAGGTGCAGTCTTACATGCGTGTAGGACGCCATAGGGGCGGGGCCAAATTTAACATTAAAAAAAAATCAACATGTCACAACACATGACTGCAACCAGTGCAGGGGGGATTGCTGGCGCGACAATTTGGGCGGCTCTGCAATTGCGATAAGCACTATCGCGAGGATGGCGAAAACATGCGTAGTTGCGCCGTTTGGCGGGAAAACCGCGAGTAAACCAGTGAAATAAAAAAAAGTAAAAAAAAAGTAAAATAAAAACAAACGACTTAAAAATACTAGCAACATGAATACTGAGGCGGCGTTTTAAAATGCACGTCAGTCGTGCGACCGTACACTATCAGTGGCGGCGCGTCACAGAGTGGCCGCGGCTCGGAGTGACCTGATCCTATTTTCTCGCCTTCGCCAATCCCACGCGAGCTTTGTTCCACACTGATAAACCAAGCGGGGGCTTTTAAACGCCGCGTCGGACTTTTTTTTTACAAACAAAAAAATTCGTGAAACATTTCAAAACAGTCAAAGCCCCAGCCTAACAGATATAAATTCAAGCTCTGTAAACTGGGTGCTTGTTGAGCACTCTAGTGGGGCAGGCAGGACAACTTCGCCCGACAGAAATGAAATTCTAGTTCGATAAATTGGGCGCTTTTTGAGCACTCTTGTGGGGTAGGCATTCGCTATCGGGAGCGGCCAGGTACGCCTCGCCGGCACAGGCCCGACTGACCTTTGGCCCTGCAGGCAGGCCGTTCCCTGTCCCTCTCGCGCTCGCGGGGGCAGCCCCAGGGCAGCCCCAGGGCAGCCCGGCAGCGAGCGAGGGAGACAGGACGACGAGTCACCGTGGGTGACACGCGGGGCCACGTGAACCACGCTGGCGAAATGACGGCACCGAGCGATTCAGTAGAGCAGTCGAGCCGTGCTCTGTCTCTGTCGCACTCGAGGGGCTCCGCGTGAAGGTGCGAGAGAGACAGAGCAACGGGCCGCGCTTCTGAATCGCTCGGCGGCCGGGCCGCTACCTGCCGCGCCGCCGCGCCCGAGTGCAGCTGATTAGGCGAGGACGCCGACGGTGGTGGACGCCTTGGAGCTACAGGTGGTCCTGCTGGTGTAGCAGCTCGTTGATGAGCGACGAGTGGCTGGCGCGGTTGAGCTGCTTGAGGCGGTGCTTGCTGCACGCGTCCGGGCCGTGGCGCTCCATGTAGCGCTGCTGCGAGAAGGCCTTGTAGCACTTGGGGCAGTGCCACGACCAGTCGTGGTGCGCTCGCGTGCGCTGGTGGGCGCGGAGGTTGGACCTGGGGCAGCACAAGGGCCGTGCAGGCGGTCAAAATCCCGGAACCGAGCGTGTGACCCCACCAATGGATTGCTCTCCGAACGAGGAATCCATTGGTGGGGCCACATGCTCGATTCGAGTCCTGTCTCGCGACTCTGGAGCTAAAAACGCGTCCGGGATTTTGGCCGCCTCCACCCGTCTTCTGGCCCACTGTACAGCGATAAAAACAGGGATCGGCGTGGGGATTCGAACCCGGGACTCACCTGTCCGCGAAGCGCTTCTGGCAGAAGGGGCAGGCGAAGGGCCGCTCGCCCGTGTGCAGTCGCAGGTGGCCCTTGAGCACCCAGGGCCGGTCGAACTCCTTGCCGCAGTGGCCGCACTTGTGCAGCTGCCTCGAGGACCCCGACGACGACGACACCACCGCGACGTCCGCCTCCAGCGCCTCCGCGCCGTGCGTCTCATCCACCGCCTGCAAGCAGAACGCGGTTGGAGGGCGCGGGGGTGGTGACAGACACGCGCCACTCCGCGCGAAATGGCACAGTACCTGGTTGCCCTGCTCTGCCTGGCCGTCGTACAAGCGCTCGCCCTTCGGCCCCTTGCCCAGGGCCAGTCTGGCGGCGCTCGGTGCCGCGAGGCCGAACATGGCGGCGGGGCCCTGCAGGCCGTGACCTTGCAGGCCGTGACCTTGGAGTCCTTGGAGCCCCTGCGCGGCCAAGGCCAGCGTACGCTCCTTCTCCATCCTGGCCGCGTTCCTGGTCGAGTTCCTGGTGGGCCTGGCGCGCGCCTCCATTGCCGCTGCCGCTGCCGCTGCCGCCGCTGCCCTGCACGTCCTGCGGTCCGCCCGGTCCGCACCGCCGCCGCCCAAACTCCGCAACAATGCGCCGTCCAACAAGGCCTTGTTGTTGTTGCTGCAGTCGTTGTTGTTGAGCTCCATCAGTGCCTGCTCCACGGCCTCGCTGACCGCTTGGGACAGCAGCGCGCTCTGGTGGGGGCGCCGCGGGGGCGGCGAGGGCCGCGAACTGCGAGCGTCCTTCGACGCGGTGCTCGTGCCGACCCTCACGACCAGGCAGCCGCCTGGGGAAGGGGAGGGGGGTTGTGTCTGAGCGATTCTGTCTCTCTCGCACTCGAGAGACTCCCCGTCGGCGGGAGAGAGACGGAGCAACGCTGTGACTGCTTCTCCTACCTGGAGGCTGTGTCGCTGCCTGGAGCGCTGGGGGCTGCACCTTCCCGACGACGCCCACCACACTGTCCACCGCCTCGACGAGGACGTCCGGGCAGTCTGAGCAGCAGTTCCGCACGGCGCACTCCTGGACAACATCCCGGTTAAGACCCTGGCAGAAAACAACCCCCAACGCGCGGTGTTCGAACCCCAGCCCCTCACCTGCGCGTTGGTTCCGGACCGGTGATGCTCGGCCTCGGCGCTCCGCTCCACGCCGTCCACGCCGTGCGCGTCGTCGCCCAGCACCGTGGTCGCCATGTGGCTGCCGGTGATGAACCTGCACGCGGAGAACACCATTAGGGGCGCCTGGCTGGCGGCGGCTGGCGGCCACCAAATCCGAACGGCATGCCCGCTCCAACCTGGTGACGATGGACAGGTTGGGGTCCAGGAGCCAGTCCTCCTGGTCGCCCTCCATGGCGGCGGGCGCGGTGGGCGCGGTGCCGAGCCGAGGACGCCGCCTGAGCTGCGACAGGTAGCCGCCGGCCGGCGGGCAGACTTGTCGGCAGCCTTGGCGGCTCACCGTCCAGGCCACCCCCGCGTCGTCCGAGTCCGAGTCCAGCGTCTTGCGGGGCGGCCGCACGAGGCGCACGGGCCGGGGCCGCGGTGGCGGCGGGGGGCGGGCTTGGCGGGGCCGGGGGCAGCGCGGCCTACAGCACCCTGAGGACAGCACGCCGATTTACACGCAATTATTTTCGCGGTTTTAGTACAAAGTTGGGGCGATTCTCTGGACAAGGGCATTCGATCAAAGTCCGAGCGCCCGCCTCACCCCTGTAGGCGAGGCAACCCGCACCGAGTGCCGGCAAGCTTGGTTGCCTACCCTGGCCGGCGCTTAAGACCCCTATCCCATAACGACGGGGCACGCATCTGTCAGTTTGTGACTCAATTTCACCTCGTGATCACACAGTCGTGCCCGACAAAATGAAAGTCCGAGTGGTGTGGGGGCCTACCCCACGACAGTGTTTCCGGTGGAGCGGGTGGACTGGCGTCCGGATCGTGACCAAATTGCCCACACGGGCTGGGCCCTTGGCAAAAGCCTTTACGAACGATGGCGCCACCGAGGAAACGGCTCCCGGTGTGCTGGAACGCCCTGGCGGCCAGGCACCCTCGAACAAGTAGAAGGAGAGGACGTACCTTGGTGTTGGTCGCCCGGCGCCGCGTCCTGGCTGCAGCTTGACTCCGATCGCTGGCCCAGGCCGACGGACCTCAAGAAACACTTGGGCATGACCCAACTCGACTTGGGTCGGAAGAACTGAGCGGAAAACACGAAAACACTGGACACCTGACGAGCAGCCGGCACCTTCTGCCTCCGGTACCTCCGCGAGGCATTGTTGCATCAGGCTGTGCCTGGGCACCGCCCACCTCACCTACGTCCGAACGACCCAAGCCGACCGAGCAAAAGAGCCTGGATAACCCTCTTGGCTTGTGGAAAATCAATTAAAGCCGCAGTTTTTGTCGCACACGCTGTGGTGCCTTAATTTCGACGAATCTGAATCTGGATTCTACTTTCAGTCTCGCCTCTCTCGCGCGCCGTGATCTTCGGCTCCGCTTCGGCTCTGCTTCGGGTTCGGGTCTCCTTCGGCTGTCTGTTTGTTTACATTGCTTACAAGTGGAAGCAGACGACGGACTGGCATGGAATGTTTCCTTGCAGTGTTGTTCCCGGTATCGTTCCTGCCGTGAAATGTTGAAGTCTGTGACTTTGTCGGTGAAGTGTCCTCTACATTCGGACTCATGTTGGCCTGAGTCGATACCGCTTGCCGCCATGGCCTAAAACCGAAAGCTTTGTCCAGATCCTGGGCTCTGCACTCTACCCTGGCTCACCACAATGACTTCTTGCTTGTTTTCCTTCACCGCGGGTGAAGAAACTTTGGATGAACTATTTAGTAAATCTTTGCACCTTCATCAAGACAGAATAGCGGTCATAGAAAACAATGGACTAACTAAATGCAGTTTGACGTACAAGGAGTTGTGGGATGCCAGTTGTATTGTATCCGAAGCCATCGCCAACTTTTTAAAAAGCTCTAGTCAACGACCATCTCAGTTTGTTGCTGTATGCATGGACCAGTGTCTTATTTACCCTGCAGTATTATTAGGGTATGTCTATCCTAACCTCTTTTTTTTCCTTTGCGCCGTTCCTTTGTCAAAGAAATAATCCTTTCACATCCATTTGGTTTCAGCATTCTTAACCAGGGCTTTGGTTTCGCTTGTTGCGATCCTTCCTGGACATCTGAAAAACAGATTCAATATCTTGGCAAGCTTGGAACTTCGTTGCTAGTCCATAAAAGTGAGGAGCGCTTCAGTAGTTCAGGAAATCAACAATGCCGAGTCCAAGTACGAGACACTTTTATGTATTTTGAAAGATTAAATTCTGGTAATGACTCAAGAAAATGCCCGCACCAAATGGCATATGCAGTTCTCACATCAGGAAGTACGGGTCAGCCTAAAATCGTTCGAGTACCCCATTCTAGTATAGTTCCAAATATTATGGACATCATGTAAGTGTGAAGGCATTTGTCATATTTATTTGTATTTTGAATGTGTATCTATTTTCCAAAGTAACAAGATGTTTTTTTCCGTATTTTAGGGATATGTGCAATGTTACATCTACAGATCTTGTCTTCCTTTCTTCACCTTCGACGTTTGATCCCAGTGTAGTTGATGTTTTTGTGGCATTTGCTGCTGGCGCATCATTGCTAGTCACATCAAAGTCCATAAAAGCCTCTGCGGGACGCCTCCTTGAAATTTTATTTCCATGTGATGCATCACAAGGTGTTTCTGTCTTACAAATGACTCCCTCAGTCTTCAATCGATGGTCAGAAAAAGAATTACAAGAAGTTGTTTTATCCTCAAAATCTTCTTTAAGAGTTCTTTTATTTGGAGGTGAACCATTCCCATCAGAATCAAAGCTTACTCGATGCAAAGGTTTGTTAATTAAACAAATATTCAATATCTCAATATTCCTTGGTGTATCAAATGTTGGCTCTTAACAAGTATTATTGTTGCAGGTATTGGGAATAATACTCACATCTACAACATTTATGGTATCACTGAAGTCTCAGCATGGGCCAGTATTCATCAGGTAATACCTTCCAAAGAAGCACATATTCTTGACCCCACTGAAGACAAAACTTCTGTACCTCTTGGCAAGCCATTGTCAGAAACACTGTTTGAAGTTAGAGATGTCTTAACTGGCCTTGCCATTGACAGCGGGTGCGGAGAAATGTTTATTGGTATGCATGAAAATCACAATTTCATGGTGGCTTTTTGACACTAATGGATTTTCTGGAGGAATGCAACCTGTATTCACCCTTTCATCTTGATTTTGAATTAACAGGCAGCTCTAAAAGGATCTGTGAAATTGACGATGAAAATTGTTTAGATTATTCCTATCCTGTGTACCGTGGTACAGGTGATATTGTGCAGGTATTCAAGCTTTCAAAAATAGAGTTTGTTTTAATTTTTGCTGAAGGTTTTTATTTATGATGATTTCTATGTGCAGGTTCATTCCAATAAAAAAATGTATTACCTAGGTAGAAAAGACAATCATATAAAGAGATGGGGACATCGTATTAATCTAGAAAATGTAGAGCATATTGCCCTAAACCACGCTTCCGTAAAGTATGCCTGCAGTGTGTGGGATGAGGAAAGACACAAACTCTTGCTAATGGTATGCTTAAGAGAACCTTTGCCAATTTTAACTTTGAGAAGGCACTTTTTGACTAGCGAGTTGTCTCAAAGTTTTCTGGTACCAGATGAAATAATCCCTGTTGAGGAAATGCCACTGACAGTACATGGTAATTACAAGCATGAAAAGCAGGATGGTTCCATGATACACATTTTTGTTGCAGTAATTTGATTCCTATAAATATAAAATATAACTGTTCCTTACAGGGAAAGTGAATCGTCAGTCTGCTGCTCTTGCATCAACCAACCAAAAACCACCTGCGTCTAAACTTCTAGTCAAAGAACTATTTACAAAGCTGTGGTGTGAAGTGCTGGGGCTGCAGTCTCTGGAAGGAGGTTCTTTCCTGTTAGCTGGAGGAAACTCACTTTTAGCTGTGATATTGATGACAGAGTTGGAGGAATACCTTGGAGAAATTCCAAAAGATCTTGGCGACTTACTCCTTTCTGGCAACAGTTTTTCCTTTATCTGTGAACATTTGTGCCAGTTTCACCATACGAATACCAAGACCTGCAACCAGCCATTTGAGAAGGAAGGAGATGAAACCACTCTCAAAGTGGACGAAATGGCTGAGCTTGAAGACACCAAACAAGAACCACAGTATGCTGATGAACTTGAATCATTCAGTCTTAGAGGAACATCATCCAGCGAGAGCATGTCAGTGTTTGACATACCCCAATCTGTCTTGCGGACAATACAATTAGATCTTGTGTGGAAAGTTGACCTCAACAAGTGCATAGACGCCTCACCTTTATGCTTAATTTATAGAAGGTGAGATCATATTTTCTGGTGATGATGCTTTCAATTTTTTTATTTGCATGTACTCATTACTATCTTAAATTTTACACAGCGGCCATATTGGTGTTGTGGTTGGGTCTCATTCTGGAAAGCTGACTTATGTGGATGGGAAAGAAGGGGATGTCCGATGGATGGTCACATTACCAGATCGTATTGAATCTTCAGCTTGCCCATCTGTCTGTGGCCAGTTCATTTTTGTGGGCAAGTTACTCTTGTATTCCCCTATGTTTGTGAGAAAGCCAACTATCTATGACATTTTGATAATTTAAATTTTTGTTTGGTAGGGTGCTATGATGGGGCCCTCTACTGCATCAATTCAGTGAGTGGGAAAATAAACTGGTCTTTCAAAACTGGGGGGGAAGTTAAATGCCCCCCCGCTCTTTGCAATGGAGGCAGCAGTGTACTATTTGGCTCATATGACAAACTTGTATACTGTGTTAATGCTCAAGTAAGTAAATCTTTTATTTTTCATCTTATGAAAAATGAACTCTTTTGTTCAATGAACATTTTATTTGTTTATCAACTGCAGCAAGGTTTATTGGAGTGGTATGCATCACTGGCCAGTTCTGCTGATTGCAAAGGAAACTGGTTGGCTGCCCCACTCATTCTTGGAAAAATAGCCATTCTGTGCAATTTAGGAAAGCTAGTATCTGCTGTACACACTATGGATGGAAAAGTAATATGGTCAACTAGTTTGAGCAATCCTGTATTTTCAACGCCATCACATTTTTCTACCTCTTTGGGAGATTATGTGGTTGCTGCAGAAGTGAAAGGGACCCTGCATTGCCTCAATGTCGCTACTGGGGAAGTGGTAAGTTCTTCTCAGTGAGTAACGCAGTAACCAAATGGCAACACTGACTGTAGGTTCTCAAATTGTTTTACTTTTCCTTACAGGTGTGGACTTGGAAAGCTGGTGGATTTATATTTGCTCCATTGGTAATTGTTCCTGACTTTTCATGTACTGATACCCACTACATTTTAGTGGGTTGTTATGATTTCTGTCTATACTGTTTATTTATTAACCCACAAAATGAAATTTCACTGAAATGGAAAATATCTTTAGGTGCCAGAATAGGTGCAGCGCCTTTCCCGTTTAATATTAGAACTTGTGATGGCGTCAATAATTTATGTGCAACAGTTTGCAACTCCGCAGGAGAAGTTTTTATTGTAAATCTTAATGACGGTGGTATACATTGCTACCACAATATTGATTCTGAAGTGTTTTCATCGCCTGTTGTATACAATGACAAAATTTATTTCGGATGTAGAGATAACTCAATGTATTGTTTGAGAATGCAAAGTTAAGATTCTGACGTAATTTAATGAGCCGTAATATAAGAGTTTACATGCAACAGACCCTTGATAGTCCTTTAAAATTAATTAAGAAAAAGAAACACAGCCAAGCATAAAGGTGAAGAGGGGAAAGATTTGTTTCCTTTAGAAAATAAGAGAAACAGTTGGAACTTCAATCAAAAACAGAGCTATTATAATAGAACAATTATCAATCTTCCTGCCACTGCATAAAATTATAAATATAAATTGTATGGACAATGTTTTTAACTTGCCTCATCCGCATTCTTGCCAAATGGATACAAAGCCTAAACAAGCACCATGAGTGACATTACATTTATATCACTGAAATTAGAAGATCTAAGGTATTTCATGTGGAAACCTTTCCCCTACCCAGTACTTGCACTTCAAGAGTACAACATATAAACAATGACAATAATTCACATCAATTTGAAATAAAATCACATTTTAGAAATGGCTCTAACAGTTCCACATTCATACATACATACACAAGTGAATCGGTAAATACAGCAGAGTACAAACAATCTACTACAAACTACATAAAAAGCAGACAAGATTGAGTAATTTAGAGTGAAAGGGTGATAATGCTCTTTATTTCATTTTCAAACATTTTTATTTTGTGCAATAGATGTCTTCTGGGGGATGGGTACTTCAGTACACAATCCCCAATAAAATGTCCAACCCAATTTAAAACATGACAATTATCAACATTGTCTGAAATATAATCCATACACCAATTTCACATGAAACCCTGAGAGCAAGTTTGAGTTACCACAAATCCAGTCAAAACTTCTTTACTTTTGAGTAAAAAAAATGAAATGAGGTAGTCATACTCTAAACTTGATCAGGAATGCCAATAGCCTCAAAGCACAACATACTATACACAGAATAAAATGAGCTTCCCACAAGAACCCTGAAATGACATACAAATTTCATTAGGTAGAGAATTCTTGATCGTACCTCATATAAAAATAATAAACAATTTTCAAATATTCTGGAAGCAAAATCTGCACTTAAAATTACTAGGATACCACTCCAGCATAGCTACTTGACTGGGAGAAACAATACTATAAATGAGGACTCGAATATTCACACACACGATTTAGGCAAGCTAGACAAATGGAAATAAAAATGATAGGAATGATTATCATTCAGAACAATTTCTTCACATCCATCTTGAACAACCTGTCTATCCAAGCTGTGCATTTCATCCTATATTTATTAAGCGAGTGAAATTTCAAAAAGCACATACCAGTTAATTCAATGCCAACTGCAAGAACTGCTGTCTCATGAGCCAAAACCATAGCCCTCCAGATTTCACATTTGAGCCAGGAATAACATTCCTTAAGAAATTGACAATAAAACTTGCTGCCAATTTTAACCATCAAAACTTGAAATTCCATTAGTTTGGAGGAGAGCACAATACATTTAGGGACCAAAACGACATAACAGTAGATTGTACTGGCAGCTATCAAGGTATATATTTCACATATTAAATGCACAACATTAAATCCAATCAGCTCAAGATAAAACTTGGCAAACTGTTTACTGGTCCTCCTCACCCAAATTCTGTTTTACAGCTGAGAAGTCGAAGTCTGTACCCGTTCCTCGTCTGAAGATGTCCAAGACATCCAGGCATGTAGTTTCAAAATGTGTTGTGGCATCATAAGACTTGGACACAAGCACCTGAAAACAATAAGGTGTAAAAAACCAACCAACCCTAGCAAAGAAAATTTGATCGCAAAAATAATAATCAAATACTTCATACCTGACTTTCTAGCCCGTCATCAGTAGGCTCATAATAGTCACTAACTGTGACAAACTTTTGCCTGATTGGGCCAAGAAGTTCAAGACCAGGCTTGATTTCAGCCTCAGGGTTGTCAGTTTCAACAGTGGTTGAGACCATACCAATGAACCAGCCCTTTGAGGCCACTTGGTGAGTGTAGCTTACAAGTGATACATAAATGTCAGATTTGCGATTCACCTAAAACAAAGAAAAACACAAAACATAAAATTTGGAAATATGACTAGAATTTCTATTTGCACAAATGATATCCAAACAGAAAAGAAAATAAACAAATATGTACCTGCTTCTGAGGAATGATAATCTGGGTGGAGAGAGCATCTCGAGTATTAGGAATGGTGTGATCCAAAAGGCAGATGCACCGAATCACCTGACCAGTCTTCTTGACCTACAACACAAATAAATCCAGACATGACAAAAACAGATCAAATATTTAGCACAACAAAATATGAAGCAGCATAACACATACCTTTTCAGGAACATAAGAAGGATCACAATAGACTTGCTTGCATCTGGCTATTTCACTTCCAGAACGAACTCCTACTGCCTTTCCATTCTCGTAAACAATCTCATCAATGGGCTTGTCTAACATGTAGGTACCTCCGTAGATGGCAGACAGACGAGCAAAACCTTGAGGTAGTTCTCCCAGTCCATACATTGGGTAAAGGTAAGGGGACTTGCCGTATCGAGCCAGAGAATCACTGTACAACTTTATCCGACGAACAGTCTGGATAGCACTTTGAGCTAGGTAATCATCATCTCGGTACAAGGCAAGAGCGTGGCCAGTGAAATCTTGAGTGTTCTTATCCAAACCGAACTTCTCATACAGCTGCTGCATGGTGCATACATTAGGATCCAGATCTTTCCAGGTTTTCGGGTCATCTTCCTGCAAATCTTGCACGTAGACCAGGAAATTGCGGAAGCGTCGCTTCTCAAACATTCCCATCAAGTCAGAAGCGAGGGCCTCCTTCTGATCCACAGGGACTTTGGAAATCTTGCCCTGCTTGTACACATAGCTACCCTCCACACACTTGAACTCCAGGTACTTGGTAACCCCAGTATGAATGAGCAGTTTCACCAGAGACCCATTGGCCATCAGGAACTTGGGGATGAGGTCCACGTTCCAGTCCCGGCCGCGGCCGTAGCTCTGGTCGGGGGCGGGGGCCCCATAGCGCGAGAATAACTCTTCCAAGGGAGTAATTGACGCGGACTCGCCCCCGTAGTACTTGTTGCGGTCGACGTGGAGCACCTTCTTGCCAGACACCGAGAGCATTCCACTCAGGATGCACTCCTTGAGGCCGGTGCCGAGCACAATCGCGTCGTACTCTTCATCCATGGCGGCGACTTGCAGTGGACTTTCGCAAAAACAGACGAGCCAAAAGAGCCTCTTCTCTTCAGGGTTCGAGAACCTCAAATTGCTCAGTACCTCCCGTTTCCTGTGCCTGTGCGGAACGCCAAACGTAGGTCAATTTTCAAGGCGCAATGCTGCCAACACAAAGCCTGGAAGCCAAAGTTGCAGGACAGGAGAGAGGTGGCCTCTCAACTATTCTGTCGCAAGTAATATGAAAGGACGAATCAAAAAACGTGTTAAGCACGCACCTTACAACCAGAGAGTCAGGAGAGGAGAAATGAAACTCGACTTGAAGACTGGGAAGTTGAAAGGGTTAAAACTATTTTGACGTTTCGCTGTCAGATGTCGTTGCCTGCGCTTTTCCTACATGAAAAACATACATGCAAAGAAAAGGATTAGACCATTGCCAATGAATTAATGGGAAACTGGAGCGGATGATCGGTCAACAAGAGTTGTTATTAAATTTAAAATAAATAAACAGGTTGGGATTGGATTTTGCGCGACCCGAACATGAAACAGCCCAACGGAGAGTTGTCAAAAAGTACGCTTCCGGCAAGGTGGGGACAGTTTACCAACAAAACTAGGCAGTCTGGGCATTGGAAAAGAATTGAAAGTTAACCTGTCGATGAAACCGGCTCAGGGAGAGCGTCCTCAGCAGAACAGCGGGTGAAAAGGCGAGTCACAGTTCCAGAAATCGCAGTACCACATTAACCCTTCTTCGGAAAAAGTGATGCCAACCTGCCGGCAGCTCTGTCCCTGTCCCGCCCCGCCTCCAGAGAGACTCTTCCCGTTTCGGTTGGCAACAATAGCGCTGGTTTTCTTGGTACCCGTGTTTTCGTTATTATGCAATCAAAACAAAGAAGATGGCGGACGTAGAAGTTGCCTCGTCCAGTGGAGATCACCAAGAAGTTGTAGAAAAGGCTGACGAATTCCCTGAGCAGGACAAGAAACGCAGGAAAATCTGCAAATCCTCCGATGGAAAGAGCATCAAGCTAGAGCAGCGGCTCGGGGGGATTCTGTGCTGCGCAGTGTGCCTGGACCTTCCTCGGTCAGCTGTCTACCAGGCAAGTCGCCCTCAGCCTTCACCTACATTTCGCCTATTTTGTCGCTTGCGTGACCCCAATCTTGCGCCCGCGCACCGTCCCTTTGCTCTTTATCGTACTTTATAACTGTTTCTGCTAAGCGCGCTTTGTATTTCTCCATGCAGACGCGAGAATGGTCCAAATTCTCTGTGGTCCCATTGTCTTTTGTCCTAGCAGAACACCATTGTTGTCGTAGTACACCTTTGTTTACGTCGACGCCCCTCCCCCATCCTTCACCGTTTCGATTCGATTACTGTATTAATTCAGCTGATTTCGTCTCGCGAATTCGTTTTTGCCTCCGAATCATTCTTGCTCGTGGTTTCTTTTGAAAGTGGTAAACAGCAGTAGCCTTGACAAGAAAATTTGGAATACAACAGCTGCTTGCCATCTTTGTGTCACACTTACTTCATTGGCCTCGGAACCTCAGAATCAGCTGATGACCAAACAAACTTATCCCAGTTTTGTTATATTTTTCATGAATCTTGTTTGATTGGAGATGAAATATTTTTTTAACTTTTTATGTTATTTAATGGATACATTTTTTATTGTTATTTTATTTTTTGGTGTTTTTGTCAGTTTTGCATTTGCCAGACTTCCCATTGCTATGTTACTTTTTTCTTTTTCAGTGCACCAATGGACATCTTATGTGCGCTGGGTGTTTCACCCATCTCCTGGCCGATGCTCGCCTTCGTGATGAAGTGGCCACGTGCCCCAATTGCCGCATTGAGATTAGCAAGGGTGTGGCTTCCCGGAACCTTGCTGTCGAAAAGGCAGTCAGTGAATTGCCTGCTGAGTGCCAATTTTGCAACAAAGAGTTTTCTAGAAATTCCCTTGATCGTCATGAGGAGCTTCTGTGTGAAGAACGGTAGGTTGCAATGTTCTTAAAGGGCAATCAACTTATTTCCAAGGTTGCCACTCAAAATGATTCCTGCACATCTTTTGTAGTTTGACCAGCTGCCGATTCAGTCGAATTGGTTGCCCCTGGCGTGGACCTTTCCATGAGGGGAAAGAACATGAGAATGTTTGCACCCATCCTCACAAGTCTGGTGCAGAGGTCATGGAAACTTTACTGTCTATGGATAACAAGCTTGAACAGGAAAAAAGACTTTATGACCATATTTTTGAAATGCTTAATTATGAGAAGGTCATCTTTAACGGTGAGACCCAAAAATCTGAAAGAGACTTCATAAAATCAACGTGGGGCTGCACACTATTTATTCATTTACTATTTTCTTAACAGACTTGCAAATGAAACCTTACCGCACTGATGAGTTTATGCATAAACTATTCTATGAGACAAGCCGCTTCTCAGCATTTAACCATCAGTGGGTGGTAAAGGCAAGAATCAACAACAGTCAGCGAGACCCCTCTCTGAGCTCAGAACGGGAGATGACATACCAGGTAAAGCTTGACATTGTTACTTTGGTAAGTTTCAGATGATGTGTTTTTCTGGTCCTGGATGTTTGCTGTTGTGCCTGTGAATGAGGGGTTTCTCTCTGTGCTCTATGTGTTGGTTGTTTGCTGGTTGTACTTCTTAAGGAAGGATTTGTCGTGCTGTTTTGCTCTGTTGTTTTTTTGTTTTTCCTCATTGTATCCTAGAACTTACTTGTAACAGTGTTATTTTCTCTTGATAAATACAACTTTGCAGCAAGGTCATCCTCAACTGATAAAACCTAACTTTTGGTTTAGTGTTAGTGCCAAATGTCTATTTAACTTTCAGAGTTTGATTTGTATTTTGTTTTTCTCATGTTATTTGATAATATCTAAGAGGTCTACAAAAGCAGCACTGATTCAACTTTGAAGATTCCAACATAAGAGTCATTATGAACAGGCTTTGAGGTAGTGTTCATTTTGAAAGCCATGGGGAATGCATCAAATTGGCCACCAGCTACTAAGCTGCACAGCAGGTATGAAGGTATAGTATTAAATCTTAACAATTTCTCAAGACTTGCTCATTTAAGTTCATAAGCTTCATAAAAAAAATAATCTGCCCACTTACAATTTTAAAACTTCATCCAAAGTCCAAGCATTTGTTTTTGTCTTGATTTAATGATTTAAATTAAGTAATTGTTTTGTCCTTTTCATTCATGCTGTCATGTGTTCAAGAGCCCCTCCATTCTCACTGGTAGACAGTAGGTGAACCTAAGGGTTAATAAATTCTGAGAGCTAATTCCTTTTCAACATACTTGTATTATGAGCAGTCTTGAAAAAGAAAGAAAAGAGTCCTTGAAAGGAAAGTCCTTTTTCTTCCGTGTCCTTATCACTGTGTTCTCTTCAGCCAGTTTAGTATGGCTGCTTTTGGTAACATTTAGGTAGTGTTAATGCTGTTGTACTTGAGCATACTAAAGTGTAGCTAATCTTTTCCCTGAACATTTTTGGGAAAAAATACAAAACAAAAAAAGATGTCAACAGAATAAGACAGATTTTCATGGGTGAAAGTCAAATAGATAGATCTGATGGAAACTATTTTTTACTTACACAATTCGTAATCACTATTGTAGTGTGTCCCTATGGGCTCACAGAATATCACTGGATTACTGATTACTGGATATTTACTCTTATAACACCTTGAAGTTGCACCTCTGTCTTGTCTGCACTACAGCATTGTATTCAATGAACAATTTGTTAGGGTTTTGAGTGATACTAGGAAGAGCACTGACATTGCACTGATTGAATCATGACTCTTCCTCATATTTTATCTTGTTTACAGGTGTATGTGTATGTGTGTGTGTGATTTGATTGTACTGCCCTGTTTTAAATTTGTAAGAGGAAGAGTCAAGATTTTCATCATGGCTTTGCGCTAGTGCACCCTTTACAAAATCTAATTGAATAGTTAGGCCTTTTTGTGCAAAAAAAGATTTTTGTTCAGTTTAAATAATTGCTGCAGTACAACTGCTTAAAGTTTGATTTTAAATGCAACACAAGGGACAAAATATTCGCAAGTTTCATAAAGCAATTTCAGATATCTTGCTGTGCAGAAGATTTGAAGACCCGCAAGAGGATTCATTTTTCATGAATTAATAAAAGTTTGCTTGTGCTTTTTAGGTTTAATAATGGAAGAAAAAGAGCTATCCCAGCTATCTTAAATTCATCATAATCTTAAATATTTTTAACACATTGTTTTTCCCCATATATTTTTTGCCTATTTTTGTGAAAGTCAAATTAGAGAAACCACTAGACTCTTACTCTTGGTAATTGTCTTATAATAATTAGCGCTTTTATGTTCTTATAATTATAAGAAACATAAGTTTCCAACAATAGGTGACAGGTTCATTGGCGTTTCATTGATGTAAAATGAAGCTTAAATTCTCTTTCGGGTTCAACTCAAATTCCAGGAATTCATGCATTATATTCTTTACGATCTTGTTGAGAATCATAGTATTTCCTTTTAAAAAAAAACTGTGTTTAAATTTTGATGCTACTCCTGGTATTTGATGTAACCCTTGTGTTTACATGTGATCAGCTCTCAAGAGGAATCAAATTTTCAGACTTGATTAAATTGAAATACTTATCACTTTTTTCTATTATTTTTTTCTATGAATGTTTCTTTTTTCTCACTCTGACCATGTGCTTCCATTGTGTTTGCTGCATCTTAGCTTATTCTGAAGACGAAGACAACATGCCCACTCTCCATGTCATTCCTTGTGATCCGTGGACCTTTTGGAGACATGAAGGCTACTCCCAAAGTGGACAAGTTTGACTTCACCGATCAAGAGAATGAAAGTCCCTATGTCCGCCTTGCTTTACAAGATACTGCTGAGTGCAATCGTTTACTCTCATGCAAGGCCATTAACTTCAGGTATGTCTAATGTTGTAGATAAATTAAATCTGAAAATATTAACATTATTCATTGAGTGTTTTCTACTTTCAGGCTCATCATGTTCCTTGTCAGTAAGTGAGGGTTGATATCTGAGGAGCGAGCGGAAAGCCGAGCGTCAAGTGTCGACTTTGAACCTGAAGCAGATGCAGGCTCTTCTGCTGCAGCCCCTCAAGGCAGTGCGCAGCCTGGCCAGCAATTACTCCAGGAAATGTTGGACGGCTAGTGTCGCTGCTCAAAGACTTGGAACATCTTACCAAATCATCATGTATCCTAACCCATATACATATACATTTTATACAAATAAATTATAAAGTTTTGTTTTTGCTTTTCTGGCAAGTTGGCCTTGTTTTATGTTCAAAGAGACAAAATGCTTATGTGTGTCATAAAATTAACCTTCATTCAGATAAATTTGTTGATGTGTGAGTTACAGGGATCTTTATTGTGTTCCATTTTCATTATTCAACTTACTATTAATTTTCTCTTTGAAAACTTTGTGTTTTTTTTAGAGTACGTTTAGTCAAGCACTTTTATCTCTGCAGAGTACCCAGATGATTTTACATATGCTGAGGCATTACTTGTTCTTTGTATAGCAAAATTTGTACCAAAAATATTCTTTGTAAACTTAATTTTTATTTTTAAGAAATTTCTTTATCAATACAGAGGTATAAAAATATAAAATAAATTATGTTATATGTAAAGCAAAGAGACATTCTGTTAGATGTTGAAAAGTTTTGGTATTCCTTAATTCTTTGAAACCACACGCAAGGTGTAAGTGTGTAGTGAGAGGGAATTGTACATTTTTTTCATTGTCAAAGCTTTATTTTTTATCAAACAAATATATTTCCTTTCTGTGATAATTTAACGCCATAGCTATGTGATCAGTACTGTTTGGGGATTCACTCTTTGAGCTTAAATATTTATACAATCATCACAAAGTGCTAAAACTGCAGCATCATTGAAAGAAAAATATAGCATTTGATTACATTCACTCCATTTATTTAAATACTGACTGTTGTGAATTTTCTTTTCAGTAATGTGATGCATATAATGGTGCACGGTGTACTTTGTGTTGAGATGAAGCAGGATATGTCCAATAATGTCACTAATGGGAACACTTTCCTGTTCATGGAGTATAGATGAGACTCGTGAACCAGAACTAATGTTGCTTGTTTTACTCTCCTTGTCTTAATAAGAACTTCCTGGACAAAATAACAGTTATCTTATCTCGTAAGATATTTGAAGATCGAGGTAATGTGTGTGATTGGAGATGAGCTCTCTCAAGAGTAGTGCTTGAAGTGTAGTTGCCACTGGGCCCATGGAGTACCCATGGTGACAGGTCTTCCTTTTATACTTGGGCTATGGTTCTACATTGTTTAACTCAGCTGTTGTTTTATTTTTTTTCTCCTTTTATAAGTATAATTATTAGTACTATTATTATCATTATTCACACCCAATAGTTGTTTTCATTTTATGGTTTGATGGAGGCTTTGTAATTGTGTTATATTTTTCCCTGTAGTGTAAAGCAATGCAGGTAGGGAACTTAACTTAGGTTTAGCTGGGTCATTTGCCCACAGCTCCTTTGAACTAATCTCTCACCGATTCAACCTTCCCAAAGCACTGTAGTGGAGTTACACAGACAATCAGTAGTTGGCTGAAGGCTGCACTAAAGTTTCCACAGAGAAATACTTCTGTGTCAGATTTCATGTGTCCATTGAGTGTTTCTTTAGTTTTCCTAATAATTGTTAAGAATTTTTAGTGGCATACCCACAGATAATTTGGCATGTTTTTAAAAATTTTACTTGGGTTATGTACGTAAAATTTGATCTAGTGAAGGGGAAAAAAGTGCTGTGCTGCCATATGTTACAGAAAACCAAGTCATTACTTTAACAGAAGAAAGAAAAATGTTTCCCCCCTCCTCATGGTGTGTTATGTGTATTCTCAAAACGTAAGCAAATATTATATTGTTAACTTCACAAATAAATGACTATAGGTTTTAAAATGTACAAGAATGTGTGCTATCTTCATTTATTAAATCCAGTATCACATCAGTGCAATAGCACTTTGCATTGCTACAGTAAATGGCTCCAGCAGGAATTCCTCCTGCAAAGGTGTTAGTTGGTATCTTCGCTAAAAACTTCAGTATGGTTTCAATCGTGTAGATGTTGTCTTTGCTAAAACCTGGAACAAAATGGAGCAAGATCAAAATACAAGTTGCTGAGCTGGGTAGATTTCCTCCAGTTAACATTAATGATTGGCTCGAGTCTAGTACTCACCTTTGGGGCCTTGTCGGTCACAGGTTCTGCTCCAGGTCGCCAATGAGATATTATTCCATTCTCCCCAGCAGTTACCAAACTTCCACTCTGAATGGAATATGATGTGAAGACAAAGTTAGAAGTACATACTCAAACAGTCGTAGAAAATGACAATTTTATGGCACCAACCTCTGGATGAAACCAACTGCATCGGACTCTCTGCTTATTCCCAGGCAACTCTGATTCCACAAGTAGGTCTTTATCTTTGACTTGCAAAAGAGCCAAGCGGTCACTGATAAATTAGGTAGAATTACTCATCGGCAAGGAAAGATCATTAATGAATGAATGGTGTGTAAGGGATACAAACCTTTCTTTTACGGAGCCTCCAGCCAGGAATAGTAAATCTTCTGACGAAGTTTGATGAATATTAATAATGTTACTCTTACTGGCTTTCCACTGAAATGTGACAATATCATTCATTAGAGTTAAACTTTTATTAAGATAAAAATAAATAAAAAGATAGTTGAGAAGTAGTTTTACCCCAGTGCTGTTTGCAACATGTTTTCTAGAAAATGTTGAAATGGGTGCTGCACCATCCTGTGTCCAAAGTTGAACATCCATAGTATCTAGAATGCATGCAATGCCTTTGTGGGTTCCGTTTAAGAGATACCAGGTAAGCTTGTCCTGTAACATGCATGAAAACAAGTTCAAATACAGGGTGTGTCTTTCAAGTTGAAATTGTGTTTGAACAATACATACAACAGTAGATTCTGTGTTGAGACTGTCGACCAATGCATCGTCTTCTGTGTCTTTTTTGAGGTCATAAATGTTAATCAACCCATCACTGGAGCCTGATGCTACATTATCAGGAATCAGCGGATGAAATGAAACCTACAAACAGAATCAACATTTTAAAATTTAATACAAGGATGATTGAATGGAAAATGAATTTTGAATATATACCGTACTTGAGTAATGTCGTCACTATGGGACTCCCAATATCCACCCAGGACTTTACACGAACGGGCATCACCAAAAACCAAGAATGCATCTCCATCGAAAACCTCAGTCCCAGCACAAAGAAAATGCCCAGATTTGGAAATGTCAAAGCTTAAAAATGGTTTCAGCTTCCCTGATCCTGCTGTGTCATCTGCAAACAGTTTTGGGAGGTATTGAATATTAAGTCACAAGAATTAAGTAGCAATCTAGAGGTGGCATTTTCCACCTACCTTTGAAAGTCAGTACACTTTTTCCTGATTTTCTTGTATCCCAAAATCTGATTGTTCCATCAGTAGATGATGATATTAGCTGATTTGGATCATTTGGATGAAATCTGGAGCAAAAGAAATGTTAAGTTGATCACACTTTGAGGGTCATAAGGATTTTCATATGAATGTCATACCTCAGGTTTGTGATTGGGCTGGTATGTTCCTCAAATACAGCAAGAGATTGAAGGCTCTCCAGATCATAGAGAGATGATGAAAAATTAGAAGACGCAGTAGCAATTCGGCCAGAAGAACTGGAAAATGAATGAATCCATGATTATAGCATCCTGTGTTAAGAGAGCAGACTCTGATGAAAATGAAATGGGAATCCTCACCTAGAACCGCACATATGGCAGATGTAATTCTTTTGCAATGAGACAGCCTTTTCATGAGTCAGGTGGTATGTAACTTTCAGTACGACATTTACATCTTCGTCAGAAGATTCACTGCTATCGCTTCCACTGCCACTGCCACTACTGTCACTACTGTCACTTTCATCGTCTTCACTGTCCGACACGGAAACGTCCATTTGGATTTTCTCTTTCTCTGGAGATTCTTTCACTGAAACAAAAATAGTAGAAGCTCTTGTAAACAAAATAGAAGTCAAATGCAGAAATTGCCAGTAAATTGTAGAACCATTAAGGTAACAATCAAACTTGGCCATCCACTTTTACTAAGAATGTAATGGGCAACTTCAGGTTTATTTACTTCACTCGGTACAATTTTCATTAAATCTACGAATAGTCGAAAATGACATCTCCTCCCCAACGTGAGAGTATAGGTTACCTCAAACAGTATACAATAATTAAATGCTCAAGGAAACAAAATAGCTCCATATTTACCACAAGCAAACCGATTGGACACTTACTTGTGCAACGAAATTCCAAACAATAACAGTCCGAGAGGGTTTCGAAAAACTGAAAAGAATGAATGTTTACTAGCACGCGAAGGAAAACTTATGGGAGGGAGCAGAACAGTTGGGTTCGTTCCAGATCTGCTAAGCAGCCCAGCACTGCCTGGTCTCACAAGGTCATTTTGAGTTATACTGCAGTAGAACACACCCATTGTACATAGATCCGTATCCGGTCCCACAGTTGGGGTTCTTTCGTTGCCTCCTCTCGTACAGCAAAATGGCGGATCAGGTTCGTTCTGAGTATTTTTTGTTGAAGTTTATGCTAATATTTGAGCAATTTCTCGTCAAAATCACATGAAAGTCATGGAGTTTCGTTTGAAGAACCGTTTGGGTTGATCGTAATGAACAACTTTTCTCTCCTTGGCTTCCACAACACGCAATATTTACTTCACACGTGGGATGCGTATGTTGCGATCATCCACGTTTTGTTTCTCCGCTGTACGGTTCCTGTAGATCTTTGCATTTGCCGTGTCGATCCGAAGGATTCGTTCTGGTCCGACTCTGTAGACATCGACCGTAAAGTTCGTGCGTTCCGTTCGGTTGTCACAAATTTGATTGAGCGAGTAGGAGTGATTACCGGTCGGACCATAACCTATCTCAGCCAATCGGCTTTGGTTAGGTGGTTTACCGAGGCGGCATACACGGTGACACGGCCTACGTGTATTTTTGATTTTTGTGGTATGTTTCCTGATTGTTGTCTTTTTGTGCTTGCAGACAGAGCGTGCTTTCCAAAAGCAGCCAACCATCTTCCTCAACAGGAAGAAGGGTGTTGGTGGCAAGAAGAAGAGTCTTCGCTACACCCGTGATGTCGGTCTAGGATTCAAAACTCCTCGTGAAGTAAGTTGGTTGCTCTCCTCATAGGGCTAAGTAAGGCCCTGACTGATTTTTTTTGCTAATTAATTTGCTCTATTCCATTGACTTTTTCAGGCCATTGAAGGAACTTACATTGACAAGAAGTGCCCCTTCACTGGCAACATCTCTATCCGAGGACGTATCTTGACTGGAGTTGTCCAAAAGATGAAGATGCAGAGGACCATTGTCATCCGGAGAGATTACCTGCACTATGTTCGCAAATATAACAGATTCGAGAAGAGGCACAAGAACATGTCAGTTCACCTATCGCCCTGCTTCAGGTGAGTTCATCTGGTGTTGCTTGATTATTTATGCTGTTAATTTTATGAGTAGAAATGCAATGGTTTCCTTAAGTTTAGTGAGTGTCAAGTGGTTCCTCTTGTGTTGTGGATTCATGAAGCCTCTTTTGTGTATTTTCTCCCCTTTGGCATAGATCCAACGTTTTGATGGTTGTATTTGTGATATTTGAACTGAAAAGCTTTTGTTAAACACTATGATTGACATGCTGTCAGTTAGTTCAAAGATGTGAGTCCCTTCTCCGCCACAGACTGCAGAATTATTTTTGATCAGTCTTTCAGGTCGAGGGCAGATTATTGCCCACTTAGGAACCAGCGGTGCATTTATTGCAACCCTTGGGCCGAAAAGATGGGTACACTGGATTTTTGTTTACCTCCTAGCTTGATTATGATCTTCTGTGCATGTCCCTTCTCCGCCACAGACTTCAGAATTGTTTCTGGTCAGTCTTTCAGGTCAAGGGCAGATTATTGTCCACTTAGGAACCAGTGGTGCATCCATTGCAACCCTTGGGCCGATAAGTTGGAAACACTTGATTACTCAAAACTCAAGTCACCAGAGTCATGACTGTCATGTGCAAAGGTCTGGTTCTAAGACCGTGCAAGGCCCTTCTCCGCCACAGACTGCAGAATTATTTTTGATCAGTCTTTCAGGTCTAGGGCAGATTATTGTCCGCTTAGGAACCAGCGGTGCACTTATTGCAACCCCTGGGCCGATAAGTTGGGTACACTGGATTACTCTTGATCTTTTATCTGATAATGCTTTGGAATTGTCAGTTTATTTGTCTTAAGAAGGCCAGCTGTTTGTTAAAACTGTCTAAATGGTGTAATTGTTTTGTGTTCCCTGGTTTCATATTGGTTTTTATTTTTCCAGGGACGTGTCGATTGGCGATGTTGTCACCGTTGGAGAGTGCCGTCCTCTCAGCAAGACCGTGCGTTTCAACGTCCTGAAGGTGTCCAAGGGTGCTGGTTCCAAGAAGAGTTTCCAGAAGTTCTAAAATAAATCTTTGATTATCAAACTGTTTTATTTTCCTTGACGTTGGAAGCCCCTGGTTATGCACTGGCTTTGATGAGGAAGTCGTCGAGATCTGCAGACTTTGAATGGTCGGGGTCGTACTTGTTGACCAGCTCTTCCCACTCCTTCGGGTAGTGCTCTTTCACATGCTTCACTGCTTGTGCCATCATCTTCTTCTGCCTGTCGGTGCACTTTGCACACCGCGTGTCGAGCACGTCGGGCAGGAGCTCTGAAATAGAATTGGAACTTAGCACAACATGGCTTCTGCAGAGGTCTCTGTGGGACATGGTCAGTGCAATCCGGGATTGGCAACCGCGCTGATGACACTCATTGTCTCCTTGATGGGGGCGGTGCGCGGCACGCACCTGTCCGTGCCTGTGCTCAGCACGCGAGCAGCGCCAGCCTGCGCCAGCCCGTCCGTGTAAACATGCCCACTCCCCCTCCCCCACTGTCCAGCCAGCGGAACGATTCACCGACGGCCGCAATGTGACCCCAACTAGCTGAAATACGACGCCCGGGACAATTGATTTCAGTTCCCCAGTCCAACCGGCGATGTGATTAAAAACTCACTTTTCATGTCCTTGGAGTCGGCCGTGCACGGGCCCTGGTCCAGGAAGCACTTGATGAAGGCGACGAGGATGCGCTGGTTGCCCAGGACCTCGTCCACGTTGATGTGCGCGAAGCGGCCCTCGTCGTAGGTCTCGGCCTCGGCGACGTACGCCAGGGAGAGGAGCGCCAGGCCCGCCAGCAGGCACGTCCTGACGGTCCTGTCCATGCTGAGACTGAGAGGGAAGTCCCGGTGTCTCCTGCGGCGCCAACAGAGAGGTTCAAGTGTGGATCGGAGAGGAGCGCCGAGCGGGGCGCTGGGATAGGAGGCTCTGCCCACGGGGTTCTCACTTGCTGGCCACAGGGCAGCAACTTGCATGCGCGCCAGCGAGCCGAGGCTTTATACCGCCGTGCTTCGGCGCGGCCTTCTCCGCCCGGTCCGCCTACTGCCCGGTCAGCGCACGTGACTCCCCTCGCACTTCGCTTCACTTCGTGACGCGAACACTGTCGTTCCCTGGAGACGAAATGACCGGCCTCAGCCTGGACCGAACCGAACCGCAAAACGAGGCGAGGGCACAGAACAGCCAGGCTCCTGATTGGCACAGTGCTAATTGAGTGTCACGCGTGGCCGCTTGCATGGCACCGCCTAGAAGAGAGATTCTTTTTCATGGCCTGAGGCACCACCAGGTGGAGGGAGACTGCAAGGGCGCCGGGTGTGGTAAAAGGGTAGAACAGGCAGAGATGCAAGACTGGATTCCATTCAAGAGGCACCTGTTGGATTCGAGCTCGAATGTCTCGCAACGCGTCCCGACCTATGTTCTCCATCAAGCGGGGGTTGTCACGGAGCAGAGGCAATAGAGGCGGAATTCTAAAAAAAAAAAAAAAAAAAAAAAAACGTTTCAGCAGTTACAAAAGACTGATGTCGGGCCTGCGGATGCAGTTGAGTTTTGGCGCCACGGTATCCCTGCCGCCAACGCGACAGAGTGACAAGACTGCAGGGTGTAGCAGCAACAAATGACTCTTCGCAGAGTAGAAAAGGACACCTTTACCATTCTAAGGCGCGTAAATAAAACTTTAAAACTGTTTCCGCTTTAGTGGTCACGGCATCCCCCCTAAAATTGCAGGGCAGTGGGTCATCTCGAGGGTGGCGCACCTGTCTAGCAGACGGAGGCAGACAACAAACATGGCGACGGTGCTCAGGATCTCCACTTCTGTGTTTTCAAAATTGCCGAAAGTTTCGTACCAGCCGGTGCGGGGTAAAAAAATAAAGAACCCCAACCAAAGGAAACACGAATACGAGTTTTTAACCAACAAGAATCCGTACCCTGACGCCCCGAGCGTGGCGACTGGCGCTCTCAGATACTACCCACGGTGAGCCTAACCTCGCTACCCGCCTCTGGTGCCTCCTAGTCTTGTGGTTGCCGCTTGGCTGGTGGTGAATCTGAGAGTTGGAACGGAGACCTCACCACCTCGCTGTCACGCGACACCCAAGAATCTTGTGCCGATCATTGAATTTGACAGCGCCATGCGACAGTTACTTGGTGTTTTCTGTCTATGCAACATTGTGATGTTTCATTGTCCTTGTGTGCAGGGACCCGGACACCTATCAAGATCCCCCTTATGAGCCAACTAAGTTGTTAATGGTGCAGAGAGTCAAGCCAATGAAGGGTCAGCCACATTGGGACAGGAAGGTGTTGACTCGATTGGGGCTGGACGCAATTGTAAGTAAACTCAACTTTGTGAAAATGTAGGAGAAAACGCACTTGCCACACTCATTCTTTGAAAGTTTTGTACATGTTAAATGAATGTGTCCAAATTAAATTTTTGCTTGTTACAGGATGATGATCACATTGTTATTCTGAAGAACACTGAGTATATTTGTGAAGATTTGTGGAAGGTTAAACATTTGGTTAAAGTAACTCCTATCACTTTTCCTAATGGGGAACCAACAGAAGAGGACATTGAAAGAACAGTGCTGACACCTCAGGGAGAGATGATTGTAGGAGACGCAGTGAGACCTGATCCTCAGCGAGTAGAAGCCCAAGAAAAATTCCTGAAGGACCCTCTCCGGCTAGATGGAAAAACCAAGAGGGAGCGTTTCCGGGATAGATGGAACTCTGGCTGGTTTATGTAGAGAAAGATTGTTTAATCAATTTAATATTTGTGGACTGTAAATAATTTGGATCTTAAAAGTTTGTAACATGTACATTTAGATCAGAAAGTTGTAGCTGTATTACAGATTTGTAAAATTTCTTGTTAAACCACAAAAATGATTTTTTTTTCAAAACTCTGTTAAGTTACTGCTCTCCCACACAATGGCAAGAACTTTGATGGAGGAAAGGGGAGACTTTCTAGCTAAAACAAAAATTTAATGACACTCAAAAGTGATTCATCCCCGGGGACAGTGAACCTCGGGGCGATGGGGGTGGGGCTGCCCCATCAGCAGACCACACGCATAATGTACACTAACAAACTTTTTGCTTTGGCCGGGCGCCTTGGGAGTGCGACAGAGACGGACGGACCGTCGTATTGTCCACCGGGCAGGTCTCTTCACTCGATTTATTTTGGTTGTGTGTGTGTGTGTGTGTGTGTGCGGCTGGCCTTGCCATCCTCGTCGCACTCGCGGGGCGCGCGGTCCAACAAGTGGCGGTGCCGCACTGAGCCGAAAAGGGAGGGGAGGGGGGGGGGATTAAAGTGTACCCTTGGTACCCCTACCCCCAGCAGCCCCCGGCGGAGTGGCGGGCTGGGCCGGCCTGCCTGGGCAGTTCTCTGCGCGCCGTCGCCCCAGCCACATCACCCCAACCGCATCAAGGTACGTTCCACAGACAGCCTGGGCTGTGCAGTGAGTGAGAGAGAGAGAGGAAGCCGGAACAACCGGGGTTCACCATGATCCAGTCCCTGTTGCTTCCTTGCGGCAGTTCGCGGAGAAGTTGCAGCCCTTTTCGAACGCGGCGTTCGCCAGCACTGTTCCGTGGTTTTGAAAAGCCCCGTGCACCTCGGTGGCGACGTGGCGAGGCGAGGCGACGCCGCGGAGCGGGAAGCGCACGCCTTGCGCAATGACTGCAAATCCTCGCCAGCCGGCTATAAAAGAAATGTACAGGGTTTCAAGTTGCCGCCGTTCCGCCAACGGGGACGGGGAGGGGCAGGTCGGGGTGGCTAGGTGGGGCCATGCGGCAGGTGGAGCACGGGGCCTTCAGGCGCCTCTAGGCCTGCCGGGCCTGCCGAGCGATGCAGAAGAGGAGTCTGCTCTGTCACTGCTGCACTCTGCGCTCCGTGAGGGCCCGAGAGAGACAGAGCGCCTGCGGGGTAGGCAGGCGGGCGGCATGCAAGGCACGGCGGTGCGGCGGGCTTGCCTATCCTCGGCTGGTTGGGCGTACACCGTGAAATGCATCATTTATTTTTTGTTGCTAAAAATGAGTGGTCGGTATTCGAACCCTGAGCCGCGGTGCGATACATTCGATACATCGACGAGGCATTGGCTCGACCGGCCCCGAGGCGACAGCACTTTGGCGCCGCTTCGGTCTGGCCCTCGTTTTATTGCTCTGGTCGTTTTAATTGCTGGCATCATGCGCTGTCTCCGTCACACTCGCACGGGGTGTCCCGCATGGGATGTCACCCTGTCTCTCTCCCACTCACTGCGGCAGCGGAGCGAAGTAAAGCATCCGAGAGGCATGCGGGTTTCTGAGCTGAGGACGACTTTTGGCCGGCTTTGACGCCCCGGCGTGTCGACCACTTGTCCCCGTCGCCACACTGAGCGACTTTGTCATCGTCCTCTCGTTAGCGCGAAATCCGATATCCGATTCGCGATAAAGTGGACTCGCTCTGGCTCTCTTGCACCCCTGCGGGCCCTGCGGGCAGGCCCGTGAGTGCGAGAGAGACGGCGGGTGCGCAGCGCGTTCGCACGCGGCCAGACGACGCGGCGGCCAGCCTGGGCCTAGAGGCCTGGGCAGCCCTTCTGGCGCCTTCTGGCCCGCCGCCCAGAGGCCCAGCCAGGCCGCCAGGCCCGGGCGTCTCCCTCGCACCCCGTGGCTGCCCTTGGGGACGCCTAGGGACGCCCGGGAGTGCGACAGGGACGCAGCGACCAAACGACTCTCCGCTCGGAACCAGCCTATGCAGAGGCCCAGCCGGGCCCAGCGGGGGTCACGTGGGAAAAGGGGTGCGGTCCCCGAAATAGCAGGTGTACGTCATTTGCGGACCGTCCCTCAAAAAAAGGAAAAGGAAGTGTCTCGATGAACGATGGCGGCCTCGGAGGCCCATGGGGTTGTTCACCCCAACGCCACAAACCCGCCTCCACAGTCTTCAAATAGGACTCGAAGCAAGCACGTGCCATTGGTACCACCATGCGTTAGATTCAAGTCACCTCCGGGTGTTCGCAGCGCTAAAACGTCTGTCTCGCTGCGTGGCTGCTGAGGCGCCAGCTCATGCTTGTTCCTTGCTCCAGATGAGGCCGTGGCTCGCCCTGCTGCTCGTGGTGCTGGTCGCCCTCAACATCGTCTGCATCCAGGCCGTGGACGTGGACCACGACGGCAAGGACGACGGCCCGGACAGCGGTAGGTTGCAACTGCCCTGGCTAGGGAGGGTGCCGCGAGCCAGAGCCGCTCGAATCGAGGAGGCGGTGGCAGTTAGCGGGGACGTTGGCCACGTTATTGTGTAAACCGGCCAGCAAGCCCCGCACCCTCTGCTTCACTCGAAGACAGCGAAACAAATTGACGATGGAGTAAGTGAGGTGGCCCAAAGGGCTCGGCCGGTCGGAAATAGAGCCAAAGGGTTCGGCCGCAGCACCAAGGCACTAGGAAATGGGAAACGGTCCACGCTCTCCTACATGACGCGCGCAAGCCAGCAAGCGGGGCAAGCACCGCGTCGCCGCAGGGCAGGGGTCCAACAGGCTCCCCCGCAAAAACGCACAAACAAAACTAAACGACAACCAGGCCGCGGCGCGCCACCCCCTATTTTCGAACGAGGATTCACTGTCCTAGACGCGGGCAAAGTGCTGGGCTGGGGGGCGTGGACCGTGTGAAGTGAAGGCAGCCTGGCCCGCAGCCCAGCGCGTTGGGTTGCTTCCGGCGCCACAGCACAGTGGGCCAGAAGACCGGCGGAGGCGGCCAAAACTCTAGACGCGTTTTGAGCTCCAGAGTCGCTAAACAGGTCTCGAACCGAACGTGTGACCCCACCAATGGATTGCTCTCCTTCGGATCCAATCCATTGGTGGGGTCACACGGTCGGTTCGAGTCCCATTTAGCGACTCTGGAGCTCAAAACGCGTCTAGAGTGTTGGCCGCCCACTGTGCAGAGGGGCGTCGCTACAGCGTTACGGTGGTGTTGCAGATGGAGACGGCATCCCCGACAGCGAGGAGAACGGCGCCGGCTTCGCGGTGCCCTCCCTCCCACTCCTGCTCCTCTCCGTGGTGCCCGTCTTCGCCCTCAGACTCTTCGGCTCATCATGAACACCGACAAGTTACCAACTTGTGACATGCTACCAAAAATTGTCATTTCCCCATGTGATACAATTGAAATAACATGAAAACAGTACTCTTTAAGCACAATTTATTCCGTTCACACTAAAAGAAAAAAAATAAAATCAGAATTCGAAATTGAAAATTGGTTTTCTCTTTTCTCCCCAAAGACCCTCCGGGTACATGATGACACCCAGTAAGAGTAAAAAACTTCCGTACCAGACGATGGTTAAGAAAGATTTGATGACAATGTATACAAAAACAATCCAGAAAAATTACTTTGGAGCAACTACAGGCATATTCAAAAAATTGTATATCTCTCTTTATATATCTACGGTAGCACAGTGGTATGGCTAAAAATATGGTTACAATGAAGGAATGGCGCCCAATCTGCTATAATTAATCAGATGTGATGGAGAAATACTCTGCTATAACAAGATCTTCAATGGATATGAAGTAAATCATTGAATTCATTGAAGGTATCAAGTTTTGGATGATGTCAGGCAACAACAAATTCACACAAGTGAAATTATTAAACATTCTTACAATCAGGTAGATGTTGTTGGTGGAGGCGGATGTGATGTAGATTTTGAATCACATCTGTCCTCAGTGTTTTCGTGATCACTGAAGTATTCTTCAATATCGGAACCTTTGTAAGGGAGACTCTGACTGATCTGGTTATCTTCAGAGAGTTGATTTCTAGTAATTGTGCTATAAATAGACATAGCCTGAAAAAGACAAGACAGATATGGTTACATGGAACAGACAATCACAAACATTTAATACAAGAGAACTACTACCCGTATTACCTGTCCTACAGCATTTGATATATCTCCAGCATTGCTTGGTAAAATAAGAGTATTATTGGTGCGGGCCAATTTTTCAAAGGCATTCACATACTGCTCAGCAACAACTAATGATGCTGCACTTTTTCCATTCTAAAAAATACAAAAACGAGAGAGAACATAATAAACTTCTGTCAAGCTGGAGGAATCCTTTGATAGCCAGGAATGAATGACACTTACAGATTTCCTTAGAGAGTCCGCAACAGCATCCAAACCTGTGGCTCTAGCCTTGGCTACTGTGAGAAGAGCTTCAGCTTCACCCTTTGCTCGGTTAATTTTCTCCAACTGAGCAGCCTCTAGAATAACAACGATATTTCAGAAATTAATGGAGAGATCCTATGGAGAAATACCTGGGTTGAAAGAACATAGCAGTACCTGAAGCTAAGATCCTTGCTTTCTTCTGTCCCTCCGCAACATTAATTGCAGCCTCTTTTTGCCCTTCTGACTCGAGAATTGCAGCTCGCTTTTTTCGTTCTGCCTCCACCTGCATCTGCATAGCTTCAGTGATTCGTGCAGGCAGCGTAATGTCACCTGCAAAATTTTGTTCAGCTCACTATCTCATTGTTTCAAACATAAGCAATAAAACATTAAGAAAGAAACTTAAGTACTTACGGATTTCATATCTTAAACAGGAGATGCCCCATGGCTCAAAACTAGCCTTGTTTATGGCTTCAACTATAGTCACATTTAATGATTCTCGTTCTTGGAAAATCTGCTCTAAACTCATTTTACCTAATTCAGCTCTGCAATGTAAAATAAAATAAAATAAAAGCATACAACAAACAAATACATAGTTGAAGAGTCTTATGGAGTGCATTTGAATCTGTACATACCTCATAGTAGTTTGTGCAAGTTGACTGATTGCAAATTCAGGGTCCTCTATACCATAACTAGTTTTTTTAGGGTCAGTTATTTTTAAATACAAGACGCCATCAATATTTAAATTCACATTGTCTAAAGAAACGAAAAAGAAGGAGGAATCATATTCACAGATTTATTTTTTAACTACATACTGTGCATTGATCACCTCAAATGGTTGCTCCCATTATTACCTGCAGTGATGGCACTTTGCTTTGGAATATCAATAGTTATTTCTTTGAGACTCTGTACATATTTCACTTTGTCTAAAAATGGGATAAGAAAATTAAGGCCAGGCTGCAAAAGTCTGTTAAATCTTCCCATTCGCTCGACAATCCATGCCTGCAAAGAAATCAAGAAACTCGTCAAGAAAAGATTGTGAATGTGAAGGAATGACAGTCAGATTTACTGTACACAGAAAACACCTACCTCTTGCTCAGGAACAAACATAACAATAGTGTTTATTGGAGTTGAAGCATTTCTGGAGGGCTGACTCCATAATACTCTATGGCTTGCAATTCCCAATCGCTCTGCGTCCATACATCCATTCTGGAAAACGAAAATTAGCAATTACCAGGTTAAAGTGAATGACACGAAAAATTATGATAGAAATACATGTCATAAAATTTCTATAATGACACTGGATGGACATTAAAGGATTAAAAATAAAACTGACAAAATATGCCACAATATTGTCAACAGCATGAACCCTTCGAACTGAGCTCAGGAAGAAACCAAAAATCAATGAGAAAATTGAAATTCTTTTAAGGGGACAGAAAGGCTAACCTTCTAGTGTTTGTCAACATTCTTCAAAGTTGACAAATGTTTCTAGAAAACTGTATGAATGGACTGTAACCTATACCGAAACTTGCGTCATGTCCAACTAAAAGCTTACCTTCAACGCGTGTAGCGTCCTCGCACTGCAAGCAGCTCTGGACAACATAATTAGTGGCTTGTTACGCGAATCCTGGCCGAATTTCAACACAGATCAACAATAAACAGAACACGTTGACCAGAATATTCAGAATACCGGCCGTGGTGGCGGTGGCGCCCCCAGTCCTCAGCGGCAGAAGGTGGAACTGTCCACACGGACCGCCGCACAGTGGCGGCCCCCAGCGGCGGTTTCGGGAACTCTCAGAGAAAGGGGCGGCGCGTTTGAACGGGAGCGCTGGGCAGACATCCCGGATGCACCTGCGGCCCTGCGCCTAGCCTGCGACACACACAATGCACCCCGAGTTTGGTCACCAGCCCACCCTCTGCCGAGACTCCTGGAACCTGGAACCTGGAACCTGGAACCTGGAGCCTCGTCCCGGCGACGTCAGAGCCTACGTCTACAGCGACCACCAAAGAAGCACAACCACCGGCGTATCTCGATCACAGCCCCCTCCCCCTCCCCCACCTGACGGCCACTATCTAAGTGACGGACGCCACAATCTGCTCCGCGTGCTGGTCATCTGAGCAGAGGCAGCTCGCCAGAGGCATGCCAGAGGCTGCCCGGCGCAGTGGCCATGGCCGTGCGCGGCTCTGTGAGCGAGTATCCTGATTACGGCCCTTAAGTGCCACCGCTACCCATCGCTACCCGTCGCCCGGCTGCCTGGCGGGCGGACAGTCCGGCAGTCAAACCTCGCGCGCCGGGGCAGTCTGCAGCAGCCTGCAGCAGCGCGACCACCCTCCCGACCACGCCACCGGAAATGCATCCACCCGCCCCGCGCCCGGAGCTGACTCGCTGGAACTGAAAGCACAGCCGGCACGGCCCCCGTGTGACTACGCCACGCTGTCTGTGGTACGTGTCAGTGGTGTCAGTGGGCGGCAGCGAAGAAACTGGAGTGAAACCAGCGAGAGTAGCCGCGACTCGTCCCGCACCGCGGCCATCGCCAGGCTGTCGGCTGTTTTACGGTGGATGGTGAAAGAGTTCGAGGACTGCTATCAGGGAATGTGGACTTATCGAAAGCCCCAACTTCAGGTGTCTGTATCTGTTAAACGGCGAGTGGCTCGGGCGCTTCGCGCATCGGCGTGTGACCCCACCAATGGAATGGATTCCTCGTTCGGAGAGCAATCCATTGGTGGGGTCACACGTTCGCTTCGAGTACCATTCAGCGACTCTGGAGCTCAAAACGCGTCTGGAGTTTTGGCCGCCTCCACCGGTCTTCTGTGCGGCGCCGCTCTCGCCGCTCGCCTCAGTGCATATTGTTTTGGCTGCTAATCTGGCGTCGAGTGGGCGCCTGACAGCGCCTGGCGTCGCCGTCTATCGTGCAATCACGTCGCGCTCACCGGCGCTGTCTCTCTCGCATCCCCGAGGGACGCCCCCGAGGGCGAGAGAGACAGAGTGTAGTCGAAAGCTTGCTCACCGCGGCGGGCTAGGCGCCGTCAGCGGGCGGTCAGCGGGCCGCCCCGTGAGTGCGAGAGAGACGGCACGTAGGCGCTCGCGTATCAGTGCGTCAGCCAGGATGACGCGCAAAGTTTACGTCGAAACGTCTGGTTCGTCCCGCGTTTTGAAGTTGTTTCGCGTCCAATTCGTTTCATTTCGACACGGGGTGAGCGGTCACGCACGGTCGCGGCCCAAGGCCAAAATCACTGAGTTATTCGATGATGAATTACGCAACTTGGGCATTGGTTAATACGAGACGTGTATCAAGCTCCTCCAGAATTGACTATGTGATTGGAGGCAGCAACACGCCTCGTTGGTACGGATCGATTGGAAAATGCCTGTCGGTTTGTGAGCCGCCCCTCCGGTTCCTCCGGTTGCAGCGATGCAGGTGGACACAATGGGCGGCCCGCGGGGCGGCCCGCGGGGCATGCTGCCGCCCATCGTGGTGCTGCACCGCAACTCGTCGACGTGGCCGACCGATTCCGTGTGCATCCTGGACGACCCGGCCTTCGCCACGTCCAGCGCGCTGCTGCGCGCCGTGCTGTCGGTGCAGGGCATCACGGCGCTCACCATCATGCTCGTGAACGCCTACACCATGGCCGCCATCTGGCCGCGCCGCCACCGCCGCTCCACCCAGTCCACGCTCTTCGTGCTGCACCTCGCCCTGGCCGACGCGCTCGTCGGCGTCTCCATGTTCGTCCACATCATCTTCTCCACGAGCTGCTTCATGGCCAACCTGGCCGCCACCCATGAGGTACCGTCGGTACCGCCCTCGGTACCGTCCGCTAGGTGCGTCGAGCGTGCGGGGCCACAACGCGCCAAAAGTCAGGGTCCGCGGTACACCAGTGTCGAAAGGGTTGCCAACCCCAGGCTGCCTCACAGGCAATGTCAGGGCTGTGGTCTCGAGAAGTTGTCCAGCTAGCAGGCTAGGGTTGGCAACCATTTCGACTAAGATGTCTTTTCCCCTGCGTCATGCACACCCCAAATCGTGTTTGCACATTCCCCTCGAGTGCGTCTTGTGGTTGATGACATCTCTTGCCTGTCGCGGCTGCGCGGTGGTTCCCCTCCCCAGTCGGCCTGCCTCATCCCCGTGGTCCTCGGCATGTTCACGTGGACGCTGTCGGCCACCACACTGGCAGCCATCGCCGTGGACCGCTACGTCTGCATCATGCACAGCCTGCGCTACTACGAGTTCATGAACACGAGGTGAGGCTATCTCCCTTGCGCACAGTGGCGGCCGGAAGACCGGTCTTCTGGCAAATCTACTGTGAAGCGCTAGGCTTTCACGTCCAACCAGTGCACTGACCTTTCCTCCAGGCGAGTGACGACCATCCTCTGCAGCCTGTGGGTCTTCTCCATCTTCTGCGCGTGCCTCTACCTGCCGACGTGGGAGTGGCAGGAGGGCCGCCTCTGCCAGGAGCAGAACATCGTCCCGGTCTGGCACCTGGTCGCCGTGCAGGTGGGTCAGGCTGCACTCCTAGCTGCCGACTCTGCGCTCATCTCACAGTGGGCCAGAAGACCGGTGGAGGCGGCCAAAACTCCAGACGCGTTGTGAGCTCCAGAGTCGCTAAACGGGACTCGAACCGAACGTGTGACCCCACCAATGGATTGCTCTCCGGACGAGGAATCCATTGGTGGGGTCGCACGTTCGTTTCGAGGCCTGGTTAGCGACTCTGGAGCTCAAAACGCGTCTTAGGGACAGAAGCTCACCCTGGCCGCTGCCTGCAGATGCCGCTGAGCGTGCTGGTGCTGGGCGTGGTGGCCGTGACGCACATCAGCATCAGGCAGGAGGCGAGACGCAGCCACGCCCGCGCCAAGGCGGCGCACGGCGCGCCCTGGCTGGTGCAGAGCCACTCCAGCGCCTCCATCCGCTCCGCCAGGATCGTCATCCTGGTGGTGGGCGGCTTCATCATGGGGGACTTGCCCATGAAGGTGAGCACGCCGTCCTGTCCGAGCCGCCAAGCCCACGGCGTCGTCCGGGTGGCGGGGAACCGCGTCCACTGCGCACAAGACACCCTGTTGAAAACAGTTTCATCGAACTGTCCTACCTTCGTGATGCCTGGCAAACATGTGTCCTCGGACGGGACTTTACGAGTGTGGTGCCCCAGGTGTTCCAGGTGCTGCTGATCGTGGAGGACGGCTCCGACAACTGCAGCTACTGGGCGTTCGTGGCGCTGCAGATCTTCTCCTCGCTGTGGTACCTGGTGAACCCCTTCATCTACGCGTGGAAGAACGCCTCCATCCGCGAGGACATGACGGTGCTGTGGACGCGGCTCACGGCCAGGTGCAAGTGCTCCACGGTGGACCAGTGCATGGCGGGGTCGCGGACGCCCGTCGGGGCGCGTCGCTTCTAGACGGACACTGTCTCTCTCTTTTCGACTTACTTTCGACAACGGGAATGAAAGAAAGCTTTTTAAACCTTTTTTTTTGAAACTCTGCAATTTGATTTTCGACACAAGACACCGAGCACTACACGCCCAGTCGGGCCAGAAAAGCAGACAATTTGCGATCCAGTCGTCAACAGCAGCAGGGAAGTGCAACACCGTAAGGGTGCATCCCCGTCTCTCTCGCACCTACACGGGACGCCCCATGAGTGCGAGAGAGACGGAGCGGCACTCTCCAGCCTGCTGCCCCGAGGAAGCGGCGCGGCGTGGGCGACTCGAAGGAGACCGTCGTGGCAGTGCGGCGCGAGTACCTCAGCGAGTACCTCGGCGAGACCCTCGGCCGCCTCCCTGGCGTGTGTACACTGTGCGACCGCCCCCATGAGTCTTGCATGCGTCTCCCCGCGCGGCGCTACGCGGCGCTCAAGCATTCATGAGACACGCGAGCTGATGGCGGGGCGGGGCGGGGCGGGCCGGAGGGTGCGGCGGCCAGACGCTGGCACTCCTCTTCCTGTTGGCGGTGGAGGCACCGGCGATGGTTGGTTCCGGTAGGTAGCGGGTAGCGGGTGAGCCGAGTCACACTGCGGGCAACGTGATGTAAACGCTGTTGAAGCCTCGCGGGGGCCGTCCCGGCCGTTCTCCGGGCTGCTGCTGCGGTGCGCGCAGGACCTCGGCGCCGACGTCCCCGGCCAGTCCCGGCGCCAGGCCCTGCAGAGGGCTTTCGTGTTCTGGGCCAGGAGCAGCAAGGTGAGGGGAAGAAACAAGCCCCGCTCATTCCGAGAGGCGTTGTCGTCGGTCTGTCTCTCTCGCACTCATGGAGCGTCCCGTTTGGGTGCGAGAGAGACAGAGCGACGAGAGCGGCTCTCGGTCTGCAGAGCAAGCAGCTCTCGAGCACTCTCGAGTCGCCGCCTGCGGCCCCAGGATAGGCACCCCGCCGGCCCGCCGCGCACGGATGTCGAGCGCGTGGCCGATGCGACACTTCGCAGGCGCTAGCTCGCCCCGCTCGAACCCGCGACCAGTGACTCGGCAGGCCAGCACGCTACCGACTGCGCCACGGCGCCACTGCCCTGCAGGTGGCCGTGGCGTGCGCCCTGGTGTGGATCGGCTGCCTGTGCGTGGACGTGGCGTTGGCGGACAACGCCGAGGCGCGACGCGTGCCGGTGCGCCACTGCGGCATCTACTCCCTGCTCTGGTCCTTGCTGTTCTACATGTGGCGCGCGCGCGCCGCCACGGCCACGCTGCAGGACTGCTTCCTGCCCGTGTCCAGCCAGCTGGAGGACTGGGGCTGCCCCGAGGGGAAGGTCGGTCCAACGGTGTCGAAACGGGTGCCGACCTCAACTTAGGCTGAGGTTGGCAACCCTTTCAACACATCGTGAGAACGGTGGCGACACTGTAGTCTGGCCTGCGACGCACGGCAACGCTCTTGGACTCGTTGAAGGCGCTGCTGGCCCGCGGCGCGCGCAAGTCGCGGCGCATCGCGCTGTTCTACAACATGTGGGGCCTGACCCAGGTGGCGGGCGTCACGCAGACCATCTTCACGACCAAGGACTCGGCCGTCAGCGCGCTGCTGGAGAGGTGGACGCTCGGGCCGTCCCTCTTGCTGGGCCTGCACGTGTCACACGTATACCCTCTTTCTTTCTGCTCCTCTTTCGTGCCCGACGACGCACAGTGGGCCAGAAGAACGGTGGAGGCGGCCAAAATTCGCGACGCGTTTTGAGCTCCAGAGTCGCTAAATGGGGCTCGATCCGAACGTGTGACCCCACCAATCGATTCCTCGTTCGGAGAGCAATCCATTAGTGGGGTCACACGTTCGGTTCGAGCCCCATTTAGCGACTCTGAGCTCAAAATGCGTTCGGGATTTTGACCGCCTCCACCGGCCTTCTGGGCAATCCACTGTGTTTTGGCGACGTGCCCCCAGACCGTGGCCCTGCTGTGCGGGCTGCTGGCGTTCTACACCCTGGTGCCCGTGCTGTTCGTCATGTTCCGCGCCTCGTCGTGCCTGTCCCGCGCGCTGGCCCTGGAGTGCGAGCGGTGGCGCGGCGAGGGCGCGGTGCGCAGCCTCGCCGCGCTGCACGCCCTGCTCACGGACGGCGCGCGCCGCACGCGCCTCCTCTTCGTCGACATGCTGGCGCACCTCATGTCCGCCATCCTCATCCTGCCGCTCATCGGCACCGTCGAGATCCTGGCCAAGCCCAACGACGTGGACAGCCTGACCATCGCCACGTTCGCGTGCATCCCCATCATCTTCATGCCCGTGTGCCTCACAGGCAAGCCGCCTTGGCACGCGCACTCCAGACGCGTTTTGAGCTCCAGAGTCGCTGAATGGGACTCGAACCGAACGTGTGGCCCCACCAATGGACTGCTCTTCGAACGGGGAATCGATTGGTGGGGTCACACGTTCGGTGAGGCCTGTTTAGCGACTCTGGAGCTCAAAACGCGTCTAGAGTTTTGACCACCTCCACTGGTCTTTTGGCAAGTCCACGGTGCGGCGCGCTCGCTCGTACAGCGTGTGTGTGCCCCAGGCCAGGAGGTGGAGGACGCGAGCACGGCGCTGCCCGGGCACCTGTACGCCGGGCCGTGGCTGGAGGAGGACGTCCCGGCGCGCCGGCTGCGCCTCAAGCTCATGCTGGGCGGCAGCTGCACCAAGGCCCACGTGGCCGTCGGCGGACTCGGCGACCTCAACGCGCAGTCCTGCATGCACGTCGTGCAGCGCTGGTTCAGCTACCTCAACGTCTTCATGAACATCCAGTAGCTCTGCCGTCCCGCCACACTCACAAATGAAATGCCGCCGACCACGTATTGGCCGCTCTTACTGTTGCGTGAAAAACGGAAAATTAGAACGGCTGGTGGTGTTTCCCGTTTTCCCCCGCTCCTGTCTTTACTCCACTACACTGGCAACTGCGATGGCAGGGCCACGGGGGAAGGGGGGCGGAGGCACACTTGAAACCTTGAAACTTAAGCGAGCTGCCGGGTGGCGCACTCTAGCGGCAGAAAGGCGTACTGCTTGGCGGCAGGCAAACACACTATTCGCAGCACAGAGTAGACAGAGTCGTCTGCATCTCGGCGAGCTCTCACCACGCACAGGCAACAGGGCAACACTTGTGTTTATTTTGAAAGGTATATACATTTTTCGACCCCACATATTTTATCCGGAGCTGATCAATCAATCAACAGTTCTCTCAGACTAGTCATTTTAGTACTTTCAAGTCAGTTTCCGACACAAGTTTACCTTGTGGCGTTTGTCCCACGTGCCGAACGAGTTTATCTACTTTTCGGGTCTTTGCGCTTTAGTTTCTCGTCACCCTATCCTGTTTTATTCGTGCCAAACTCCCATGGTCATACTGTCAACACGCGTGGAGTTAGTTTTGTCTACGACCGTCTGCGGCTGGTTGCATTTGACAGCAGAAGGGATATCTCATAACCCCACTCTGCACGTTGCCTCTGGCACTGCCAGTCTTCTCCTTACCTCCTTGCTTCTGCGTTAACTCCTGCGCATTTGAAATAATCGAATTTCTAAATTATCACAGTTTCAAGTTTAGCAGAGAACATAGTGGCTTAAATTTTTTGAGTCTTAGCACATCGGTTGATAAGATGGTCGCTTTCAAACTTTCCCTTAATTCTGTCACACTTCTTTAACCACTTGTTTTCCATGTTGTTCCCTTTTCCAGTTAAATATGGAAGGTGCCCCAGCCAATGGTTTCAGAGGTGGGAAAGGCCCGCCTAGGGGACGGGGCTCCGGTCCACCTGGTGGTCGTGGATTTGGACGTGGTCGGGGTGGCTCTCCTGGAGGTCGTGGATTTGGACGTGGACGAGGAGGCCCTCCTAGAGGACGTGGATTTGGAGGTGGACGAGGAGGTCCTGGAGGACGAGGATTCCGAGGTGGACAAGGAGGTCCACCTGGAGGGCGAGGATTTCGAGGTGGACGAGGTCGTCTTCCTAACGGACAAGGACGACAAAATCTAGTGTTTTCTGAAGTCCTCACTGAACCTGTTGAGTATGTACCCTTTGGATGGATTTTATCTCAATTCCAGTGTGAATGTTGGTTGTTTCGACCCTAACTGTATTTGTTCTCTTTTGAAATCTAGGTTGCTTCTAATGCGGCATGAAACTGTAACGCCTTCACGTCTTACGCCATCAATTAGAATAACAAATCTGCCATTCACTAAGCTTGAGGATTTCATAGAGCTTAGACCTTTTCTTTTCCAATTGTTGCATAGTCGTTGCACAATAACTTATGAATCAGATATAATATTGTTTTACCAAAAGAACCTTCGTGGGTTTTGGGATGTAATTTGTGCATTTGGTTCCCATCAAGGGAAAGCGACAGCTGTGAAGGCTGTATCCATAATCCATGGACAAGTGTTTAAAGATCACCACTTGATTGCCGAAAGGTATGATAGTTTGGCGGAAGATGATCACCTTGTCACTGAAAATTGTGTTAGGGTCTCAAACCTGTCAACAGCAACAACAGAAGAAATGTTATGGAAATTCTTTGGGAAGATTTGTGGGAAACTTGGAATGATTTATTTAGATCTCACACAGAAAGGCTCACCGGAAGCCTTGATTAATTTTGAGGAACCAGATTCTGTTGCTGAAGCCCTGAAATTAGATGGTGCGAAGTTAGACAATTCTAGTATTGAAGTGACTCATTTGGATTGGAATCAGAGTATTAGAGTTTCTATGCCTGCGGAAATGACACAAAAACAACTGGAAGAAAAGTTACAGGATTTCAAGCCAACTTTCACCAGAATTATCTCATCAAAAAATAAGATTGCATTTGTTTATTTCTCTGTAAGTCTCAGTTCTTATATTTTTTGAGTTTTTCAACATGTTTGTTTGTTTTATTAATTGATTGATGTCGGGTTTCAGAGTAAGAAAAGATATTCCAAAGCTTTAACAACACTGAATGAAACAGAGTTACTTGGAAGCAAAAATTGTGCAACTCCAGCTGTTGAGCACAGAGTGTTTACTCGTTTGTTTGAGTCTGGTAAGATGCCTTTGCCAGATTGTCATTCAATCTTGTTCTCCAATTACTTTTTTATCCATAACTATTTTGATCTTTTCCAGGTCTTTTTGTGTCTCCTGGAAAGCTTGTATCATCTTTCCAGTCGTTTGGTGCTGTTATAAAACATTACCTGCATCCAAGAATTCATGGCGTTTATGTCATTGTTTTTGATGTATGTTACCAGAAATCTCACTTGTTTTTGCGAGTTTAAAAGTTGTATCCCAATTCTTTTTTAATATTAATTTTACGTTAAAATATCTTATGTTGCAGTCTAAGCACGCAGTTGATGCTGCCATCAAAGCCTCTCCTGTTTTAGTCGATGGCACATCATGTACTGTTTGTGACGCAGCGAACAAGCTTCCACCACCAGAAAAGAAAAAGAAAAAAAAGGGAGAGAAGGTCGTAGACTCAAAAGTGGAGGATGAAGAGGATGACAATGTTGCTGATGATAATAACGAACAGGGGCAGCAGGAAGAGGGAGAGGATGAGGATGATGATGATGACGATTCCGTTGATGAAGAAGAGGGGGAGGATGATGACGATTCGGAAGATGAAGGAGAAGAGGAGGAGGATGAAGAAGGTGATGAAGATGATGATGAATCTGAAGAAAGTATGGATGGGTTGGTTAAACCATCCAATGGAGTGAAAGTAAGTATGATTTCATTATTTTCCATTGGTAGTGCGTTTTATGCATGCTGATTTCTTTACTTAATTTTCTTTGTTATACTCTTGTTTTAGGTAACAAAACAACCACCGCCTCAAATCAATCTGAAAAGAAAAGGAACTCAAGAAAACAGAGGCCAAAACAAGATGGCCAAGTCTAATTAATTCTTGTATTGTGTGATCAGTAAGCTTTTTTGTTTTAATTTGTTTTTGGTAAGCGAACTCGTGACCAACTTTGTTCTATCAAAGGGAACCAATACAGTTTCTTCGAATAAAATTGTCAGTCAAACAAGCCAATGCTACTCTTTCATTACCTACTCTCAATATTAATATACAGAGGTATTGGCTAGTCCTCTCTTTGCTAAGAAGCAACGTGGTGACAAATTTTAACCCTTTGAAGCGGACGGGTCCTCGCTGACGCCACTGCCGCCGCCACGCACCGCTAGATGGCGCCTCGGCTGCTCTGGCGCTGTGGATGGCGATACTCCGCGTGCAGGGGCCCGGGCCCCGGCCGCAGTCCAAGACCCAGGGGGAAGTCCGAAGTGGCCGCCGACGCCGCCCCGCCCCGCCCCACCCCACTCCTCTCTGAGCATTCGCATGGTTCAACCTGCTCCGAATCACATCAGTCTTGTTCAACAGACCGACTTTTCGACCCTTCTGCAGCGAATTGTCTGTCTCTGCGAAGAACGCCTCCGAAACGGGGCAGAGAGCGGGCCGGGGAGGTGGCCTGGAGGCCCGGAGCGGTGAGTAGGCAGGTACATCATTAATCTTCCACGTCTGGTAATTGCTCGCAATGGCGCCAAAACCAACACCAAAAGGGGGGGGGGGTCTGGAAAGGGTTCGGGGGAGGCCATCTGTTGGGAATCAATGACAGTACTTGGGCCCCAGCCCGGAAATCCGAACGCCACTGTAAGCAGCCTTGCACCGGGAGCGCTCGCACCCTCTGGAAACGTGTTCGCTTCGCTTGCATCCAAGTGCGCTCGGACCTGACTCACGAGGGCGCTGACGACAGAAATCTTTGCTTTATCGTGTTTGCTTGGGTTCCTTTTCTAGCGCGGTTGGCACGTGCCGTGACCGCGCCTCTGGCTTCCCGAGTCTGCTTGATATTCCGAGCCTTCATGTTGGCAACATTTAACACGCCACCAACAACAACATGCAACAACATCAATCAAGCGCGCAATAAATTGAGTTCGGAAGGAAGTGGCGGACTGCGGGCTGCTTTCGTCTCTGTCGCACTCACGGGCGTCCCTCGGGGGTGCGAGAGAGAGCGACTGTTCGGCATGGCTCGGCTGGAGAGGAGCGACGCGCGAGGCGATTAGTGTCAGAGGGGAATGTGCACCCTCACCCCCTTGGCCCTTCACGGGTTGGCGTGGTGGGGGTGGGGGACGCAGGTCTACGGGGTGTACAGCGCGGCCGCAGAAAGCACTTACAAGCCACCCCGAGCGAAAAGCGCGAAAAGCGAACAACGAGGAGCCACGCGCGGTACAGCCGCAATCCTTGGATGGCGGTGCAGGAGTCAAGAGGGAGTGCTCCCGCCCAACATACTCCAATTTGGGCCGTTTAAAATTTTTGACCGAAAACGGTAAAAAACCTTGACATTTTTTTTCGAATGGTCGACCCTCTCTCACTTGTCCGAAATGATATGGAAGGTTGCTATGGGGCTAAAAAACAGATGCCCGGTGCCCAAAGGTCGTAGATGGATTTAAGTTGGCGCGATAATGACTTTCCCCGTGACGCATGTAGAGCTCTGGTGCGTAGAAGAGGCAGTGAACGATGGGTAGTCCACCTTTGTGGCGCTAACTGAAGCCCCTGTCAACTTACGGGTAGGCAGCACACCGTACACGGGTGGCGGCCACGTGCCTAGCTTCGCACCCGTCAGGCGCTATCAGTCCTGTCAGTTGGATTTTGCCGATAAGATCGGCCTGTCTCTGTCCATTCCCCACTCGCCCTGCCAAGTCCAGATGAAAGGAATAGGAAAACTTCAGCATCTTCAATAAAATGGTTTATTTACATCATTGGCTGAGTCCGTCAGACGTGTCTGCTATATATAAGTATACATAGAATAATATAAAAATATACACAAGTTGCACTAAAACACAAAAAAGAAAATGACTCTATATGCCAACGTAATTAATAAAAACAGTTTAATGGAGAAACACACAATATGGAGCCAGCAGCAATCAACAATTTCTGTACATCAAATAATCACAATGCATACCCCTGGAAGGAAGTGAACATTGCAATCTCGAAATAATGAACACAATAATAATAATAAATCAGGTCTATAATTCATGAACATAAAATAACTATAATATTATTATTAATAATAATAATTACTGTATAATATATATCTACATATACAGCAATAAGGATTTGGTTTGTTTGGGCTGCACTTCTAGATGAAAATTTGTTCATTAAACAAAAAAACAAAACAAAAAATAATTTTATGTCAAGTAAATAGCATGTGTTTACAAATAAATACTGGACATGTACATCCACTTATTCATGCTAAAAGACAAGAAAATGATCACATGATTTTTCTATTTAAAAAGTAAGAAGGCCAGAGCCTTTAGACTTAGCGTGGAGAAACAGCAGGGAAATTCCCCTGCCTGCAATCAAAGTGAGGACATGCATTTTCATCTTCTCCTGCGACCCGCGTGACTAAGCTAAGGAATGTCATCACCACGTGCAAACGGAGCCATAAGCTGAGATCATCCTCTTCAACAAAACCTCGAAAACAATTAAATAATACAAACTCCATGACATGACCTTGGAGCCAGTGCTTAAAGTAAAATAGGGCAAGGCCAATCCATTTCACCACCAATTGGTGGAGTCAGCTAGAGAATAATGGAACTATTTGGCTATAACAATGTTTTGTCTACATAATTTACTATTTTTCACTAGTTTAGAATATTTAGAGGAAAATGGAGAGAGAACTAGGGCAAAGCAGAATAATGTCATTTTACTTCCATCTTTCGGTCCTCATGGCAAGGGGAGCCAAGTCTTTCATGACATTCAATACTTTCCCAGCTACTTAAAAAATGGAGACATCTCATAATCCATGGCAAAAAGATACCCACCCAAGCTATTTTGAAAATTCACACTTGCAAGAAACTTACACTACTCTTTGAAAACATCATGGCATTCGCCTGATGAATGTAACAAAATTAAAAGGTGGGGTTCTAAAGCGAAGTATTTACAATCAATTGCACTGTTCAACCAACATACATTCACTCATCCATTCATTCATACATACATACACACATACAATCTCACAAACACACAGACACAAACATGAATTTTCTAATTAACGAAACAACATTGCATTTTGTAGTCCGGTTTCAAAGTTCAACAGTAAAAGTGGACTTGTAAAGACCAACCAACAAAACACTATGTACAGCCCATCACATATTCTACGCCACACTGCTTTGAGTGTGGCAGCGCGTCAGGAGTCTACCAATCTGAAGCCAAGATAAATATAAACGAAGGATGAATGAAATTTGAAGCCGGACTACTGGCCTTGGGCCGTCGCGTAAAGCAGCTTTGGATCTAGGAGACTCTGGACGTGCGCGCCGCGGCCTGCTGGGCGAACAGCACCCCCTGGTACATGATGCCGTTGATGTCCATGCTGACCACGAGGGAGTTGTCCTGGCCGGGCCGGCCGTCGCCTGCGAACAGGGAGAACAGAGGGGTAAGCATCGGGAGCAGACTGTGGCGGACAGGCAGGGCAGGCAGGGCTAGAGTACGCACCTCTACTGTTGATCTTGATGTGGGTGCCCAGGCCGGTGGCGAGGCCGCTGGCGAGGCTGGCCACCTTGACGGGGCTGGGGGACTCGTCGCGCTCCACATGCGGCCTCTTGGCCACGGGCTGGAAGGCCTCCTCGGGCTCTCGCTTGATGGTGGCCTCGCGCTCCCGTTCGCGCTCCCGCTCCCTCTCTCGCTCCCGTTCCCGCTCCCGTTCGCGTTCGCGCTCCCGTTCCCGCTCCCGGCTCTCGCGCTCGCGCTGTGCCCGGAGGAGGTCGCGCTGCTGCTGGCGCTGCACGCCGAGGTTGAGCGCCTCGCGCTGGGGCTCCGCGTTGGCGGGGTGCGCGGGGTGCTCGGGGTGGTCGGCGTCGAGGTTGGCGGTGGCGTTGCCGTGCCCGCCCAGCCCCGGGCCCGCGAGGCCGCCGCCGAGGGAGCCGAGGGAACCCAGCGACCCCAGCGCGCCCGCGGCGCCCAGGCCGGCGCCCAGCCCCGCGCCCAGGCTGTTGTTGCTGTACAGGTTCCACAGCGTGAGCCGCGACATCTCCAGCGCCGACATGGCCGCCTCGCGCGGCGACGTGGGTGGCGAACCTGCGGCAAGGGGCACAAAGTCAGACGAGGTTCGACACCGGCGGGCCAGAAGACCGGTGGAGGCGGCCAAAACTCTAGACGCGTTTTGAGCTCCAGAGTCGCTAAATGGGACTCGAACCGAACGTGTGACCCCACCAATGGATTCCTCGTTCGGAGAGCAATCCATTGGTGGGGTCACCCGTTCAGCGACTCTGGAGCTCTGCACGCGTCCAGGACTTTGACCTGGACGTTACCTACCTTGCCGGGACAGCGGCGGCGTGCCCGCGTTGCTGCGCAGCTCCTTGCTGATGAGCTTCATGTACTCCGCCATCCTGGTCTCCAGCTCGGCGGGGGTGGGGCCTGCAAGCACGTCAGGCACGTTCACGTCACGCGACACTCGGCATACATTATCGCCATTGCGACAAGCGGCCTGCCCCGGGCCTGCCGCCCCCGCGCTCGGCTCGGCTCGGCACCGCTCGACTCGGTGTCCCGGCCGAGGCGGGGCGGGGCGGGGCGGGGCGGCCCGTTAGGCCCGTCGCGTCCGTCTCGCATTATCCACCTGTCGCTGCTTCGCTGCTTCGCCGCTGTCGCTTTGACCACCGCGGGTCGCGCCTTGAATAATTAGACAGGCCGACGGACGTAGCGATGGCGATGCCTGGCTGGCCCGCCTGGCGTTCATTGATATGATGATTACAGTGACGTGCCGGCCGAGGCGAGGCGGAGCGAAGCACGGCCGGCACGTCTCGAGTCTGGCCCAGGCTGGCCCAGCGTTGCCAAATAAGTAGGCGACAGTGGGCCAGAGGACTGGCAGAGGCGGGGAAAAAAATTCGAGACGCGTTTTGAGCTCTAGAGTCGCTGAATGGGACTCGAACCGAGCGTGTGACCCCAACAATGGATTCCTCGTTCGGAGAGCAATCCATTGGTGGGGTCACAAGCTCGGTTGGAATCCTGTTTAGCGGCTCTGGAGCTCAAAAGCGCCCAGGTTTTTTGGCCCACTGTGCCATGCTCACCGAGAACGCCAAGCGGCCGATTGGAAGACCTCGAACGACACTCACCTGAGCCAGGGGGCGGCAGGAGCTGGTGGTTGTGGTTGTAGTGGCCGTTGCCGTTGAGGAGGCGGCCGCCCTGCGTCACCAGGCTGAGCGGCGACATCTGCGAGGGGTGGGCGGGGTGCGCGGGGTGGGCGGGGTGCGACGGGTGGGCGGACATCTGCACGCCGCCGGGGAGGCCGCCGCCGAGCCCCGAGCCCACCAGGCCGCCGCCGCCGCCGCCGCCACCGCCACCGCCACCGCCACCCGAGGGCGTCCGCTGCACCATCTCGGCGTACGTGCCGTACGACGACCTGCGCCCTTCCCTCCGGTTGCCGTCGATGGCGGCCTGCAGCTCGGCCGGCGTCGACAGGTGCATCTTCTGGCACTCGTAGGGGTAGAGGTACTTCATGTACCTGCGGACAGAGACATTGTTCGTTAGGATCGGAGGGGCGAGGCGCACAGTGGGCCAGAAGACCGGTGGAGGCGGCCAAAACTCTTGACGCGTTTTGAGCTCCAGAGTCGCTAAATGGGCCTCGAACCGAACGTGTGACCCCACCAATGGATTCCTCGTTCTTAGAGCAATCCATTGGTGGGGTCACACGTTCGGTTCGAGTCCTGTTTAGCGACTCTGGAGCTCAAAACGCGTCTAGAGTCTTCTGGCCCACTGTCCGGCGCTATCCCCGTCCAGGATCCTCCATCACCAACACACACACACGCCCAGGGGCCTTTCTCGGAGAGTGGGGCGTGGCGGCACCGGTACTAAGGACCTACTCAAATTCACACCCGCGTCCAGGGTATTTGTTTCACACATTCGTCGTCTGTCTTTCAAACAGACCGGCCCAGGTGTATGCGCTCAGGTGCCGTACGTGTGTATGTGTGAGTGAGAGAGAGAGCGTGCGTGCGCGAGCGGGTGCGCGCCGCAGACAAGGAATGGAAAATTCGAGAAAAGTGTGTCGCCGTACGAACCGAGAATCAATGAATGAATCAACGAATCCTGAATCAATGAACGAACGCGTCAATCAATAATCAATGAATGAAAACGAATGCATGAAAATGAATGAATGAATGTGACTGGAGGGGCTCGCAGGCTGTCGCGCCGCGCTGGCGGGGCTGGCGGGCTGGCAGCCTACATCAGTCACCGCGACTCATGCCGCGGTGGCTCCTTTAATGTGGGCCGGGGAGTTGCAAAGGAGCGAGAACAACAACAACAAGGAAGGGAACAACAACAATAATAAAGCGAGACAAGTGTCGGCGCGACCCTGCGACAGGTGAGATGAGTCGGTTTGAGTTGGCAGCCCTGAGGCAGCCCGCTGCCGGCCAGGCGGCCGCACCACAGTGGGCCAGAAGGCCGGTGGAGACGGCCAAAACTCTAGACGCGTTTTGAGCTCCAGAGTCGCTGAAGAGGACTCGAACTGAGCGTGTGACCCCACCAATGGATTGCTCTCTGAACGAGGAATCCATTGGTGGGGTCACACGTTCGGTTCGAGTCCTGATTAGCGACTCTGGCGCTCAAAACGCGTCAAGAGTTTTGGCCGCCTCCACCGGTCTTCTGGCCCACTGTGCGCGCTGCGCCGCAGGGCCCGGGGGCTCTTCGCTGTCTCTCTCGCGCTCGCGGGGCGCGCCGAAGGGGCCCAAGGGGCGCGAGAGAGACAGCGGACCGAAGCACGGTACGGGATGGCCCCGAGCTTTGTTCATTGCACCGATGACGAGATCCAAACGTCGCGGTGGCCGGGGAGGGGGAGGGCTGGGGGAAAGGGGAGGAGGTCGAAAGCAGAGCATCAGCACCGAATCAATCACCCGACGGCCGGCCACGGCCAGCCAGCCACACCTCGGAGCTGTCCGGGGCCCCGCGGGGGGTCGCCGGGGTCGGCGCTGTCGGCCAGGCAGGACACGTCGCACAGTGGACTTGCCACAAGACCGGTGGAGGCGGTCCAAATCCCGCACGCGTTTCGAGCTCCAGAGTCGCTGAATGGGACTCGAACCGAACGTGTGACCCCACCAATGGATTCCTCGTTCGAAGAGCAATCCATTGGTGGGGTCACACGCTTGGTTCGAGTCCCATTCAGCGACTCTGGGACTCAAAGCGCGTCCGCGGTTCGGACCGCCCCTCCAAATCAGGCGAATCGCGATTTAAGGCGCCGACCCAATCAGCACGCGCCGCGACGCGCGGCCGTGCCGTGACAGTGTCGTGACGGCCTCGCGACGGCGCCGTGACGGTGCCGTGACGCGGGGCGCGACATTAAAAAACAAAGACTGCATCCCTGGCTGGCGGGGAGTGTCACAGGACTGGTTCGTTCCGTCAGGGCGACGGAGAGAGAGGGGGAGAGAGAGGAAGAGGGAGGAGAGAGAGAGAGGAAGGGGAACGGGAAGGCGGGACGGCAATGGTAGAGGAATGCAAACCGAAAGATCATTATTGGCGGAAGCGAAAATAAATTAGTTTGCGCGCAACGCGCCGCGCTACGCGCTCCTAACTACATCGAACCTCGCCGTCCTAGGGCCGGAAGAGAGCGCGCGAGAGAGAGAGGGAGAGAAAGAGAGGGGGGCTGTCTGTCTTGGCACCTCGATGAGTTATAAATAATGATCCGAGACGCGACCCATATTGCGGGCGTGGCGGCGGGAGAGAGACAGAGAGAGATAGTGAGTGTGTGAGAGAGGCAAACAGTGTGGGGGAGGGGAATCGCGAAGTCATTTGGCACGTCGCGAGAACTGGTCGAGGCGAAGGCGCGCGTCGATGCGGACACACGCCAAACCGAATCAAACAAGAAAAAGAAGCAAAACTAACTTTGTCACCGAATGCAAATCCGTTTTTAATTGAGAGGGTGTACTCACTGCGTCCGGAGCGTGAAGGCGGCCGACGTGATGGAGGAGGGCAGGTGGAGGCCCTTGATGATCTCCTGCCAGAGCTTCTTGTTGATCACGTCCACCAGGCCGCCCCGGGCAATCACCAGCTTGTACAGCTCGTACAGGTCCAGCACGCTCTTGGCCATGATGGGCAACCGGTTGATCGGCGTGTCTGCGGCATACGAAAATCGCCAAAGATAAAAACTTCAATCATTTCAGTCAACTTTTTTTTTTTTTTGTTGGTCGGCCTGCGCGCTTCCCGCCACCGCAACAGGGCTGTCCGCCCGGTGTGCATGTCGCCGCACTTTATATACACTCGGGGCGTCGCCGAGTAGCAACAGACAAAGCAACATTACGACATTTACACCCCGTGCGGCGCGGCGCGGCCCGTACCCACTCAAACCGCCCGCCACGCCGCGCCACGCCGCATCGACACATGCACGTGTATTATTAGCACCGCCATTTTACACCGCCGGATTCCGTTCCTCTCTCTCTTTTCGCCGAATTGAAGAGGCAGAACCAAAAGCCCCACGGGCAGACAGACAAAACTCTAGACGCGTTTTGAGCTCCAGAGTCGGTGAACAGGACTCGAACCGATCGTGTGACCCCACCAATGGATTGCTCTCCGAACGAGGAATCCATTGGTGGGGTCACACGTTCGCTTCGAGTCCCGTTTAGCGACTCTGGAGCTCAAATCGCGTCGATAGTTTTGTCCACCTCCACCGGTCTTCCGGCCCACTGTGCAACGTCCCAGTGCGATATTGAGTGAAACGGCTGAGGCTGGAGGGGGGGGGACAGCGTGGGGGGCCCGGAGACCACCCCCTTCTGCTTGGCTTCGCGCGCTTCGCGCTTCGCGGTCAGGAGCCCCGCTTTCCAACTTGTCTCGAAAGGGGTCGGGGTAATGGGACACTGTGGGACAGTCTGGGACACGGTGGGACACGGCGGCGGGACACTGGAAGGCAGGGCGCGGCGCAGCGCTACAGAGGGCGCGCCAGTCAGTCGCTACCGTCAATTGCATGGCCGGCCTGGCCGCACCGCAAACGTTTAGAGGCTGCTGCCGCTGCAGCGAGAGGCGCGGTTTAGCGATACGTATTGGGTACCGTTCGCAGCGGCACCAAAAACTGCGGTCACCCTTTCCTGCCCCCAAATAAAATAAAATAAATTTAAAAAAAAAAATGGCGGGAAAGGAAGTGAGCTGGCGAGTCTGCCTTCCTCTAATTCCCGCTTATTACAAACCGCCGCCATCTCCGCCTCGGCGCCACTACGGCGATACTTCCGTTTGGCAACCGACATTATTTACGAGTTTACTGTTAAAAAGAAAACGATTCGGACCTGTTTGGCGTTTCAGAAGGGCAGAGGCGAGCAAGATGTACTTTCAGATGTCGGAAGATCTGAGATTAGTTTCAGATATGGAGACTTCCAGCCAGAGGCAAAGCTTCAAGCCAGAGGCAAAGCTCCAAGCCAGAGGCAAAGCTCCAGCCAGAGGCAAAGCTCCTCCAGCCAGAGGCAAGCTCCAGGCGAGAGTAGCACCAGGCTCCGCGGAAACTCGTAATGGTCCCATTGATAGAGGATGGTCCCGGGCTGGGGACTCCCAGGGGGGAGGGCCGTGGCAAGGGCCGTGGGGCCGAAGCGGCCGAAGCCATTGAACAGTGCCGCTGCGCCGTCCGAGCGTACCGCTGGAGCCACTACCGCTGTCCACGGTGAAAGAACAAGACTACGGCCGGGCCGGGCCGAGCCGAGCCGGCGGAACGATGAATGAGGCCAGGAAATGAACAGAACATCACCTCGCCGCAAAAAGGAACGACGCGCCGCCCAGCGACACTTCAGCTTCATTCATATTGTAGGTGCAGTCTGCGGTGAGCGCGGCCGGGCCGTGCCGAGCCGAGCCCGGCCGCGCCTAGAGCCGCGCAACGGCCGTGGAAATTAAAACTCCCGTCCCGACGCGCGCTTTACTATCACATTCGGGTTTTATTTGGGAGGGCGGCTGTGATACACACGTCATATCGGGCCCAGATTTACGGCGGCAGTGACTGACTGGGTGTCGCCATAAGCTGGGTCCTGGACGTCCTGGACGGACGGACACCGCCATTTGCATAACAAAACGGACACTATTAATCGTCCGGGCTTAACGTCCTCCCCCGACGGCCCCGAAGGCCGAAAGGCATAGAGGCCGCCAGGGCGCTCGGTTCGACAAGCGTCCTGGCGCGTTCAGGCGCCCCAATCCGTCCGACTCAACGCGACGTCGTTTCGCCGCGTTTCGCCAGTCGAGCAAACCCCCCTTTTGGGTTATTAAGTCCGCGGGGCCGCAAGAAGCCGCGAGGCACAAATAAACTATTTAAAACGGCCGTAAAAAGGGCGCCATCTTGATCGTTAACGCCCCTTCAAGCACCACGTACGCGCAGGGCACCGCAGTGGCGCGACCCGGCGTGTCTGGCGGGGGGATTTCCCGTCAGCGGGACGGTTTCCACGTCAGCGGCGGGAATTTTCCCGTCAGAGACGGGAAATTTCCCGTCAACCCAAGGGCCGTGTCCCGCAAGCGGCGAGAAGTTTCCCGTCGGCCGCTGCGCCGCAGGGAGGTCCTGACGGTGTCCTGACGGTCGTCAGCAGGGTTGTCAGTCCCCTGTCAGTCCCCGCCGTCGGCCGGGCCGTGCCGCGCCGCGGTGAGGCGGGTGACGACAGACGACGGCGGCGCTCAAAGGAAGACCACTGCGTCGGCCGGCCCGGCCAGGCCCAGCCAATCAGAGAGTCCCTTTTCCCTTTCATGGTCGTTCCGAGAACGGAGTGAACCAGTGAACGCGGCGGTGGCGTCGATCCACTGCCAATCGCAATCATTTCCAGGGCGCCGCGAGGCAAGCCAACGGCTTTCAGGAAAGGCCTCAAAGGAGCGGAGGCCAGGAATAGAAGCACGATTGTCCAAAACAATCCCCGCTACTTGGCCAAAGGGGCAGACAAGGCGGACCAACAGGCGGGGGTCTAGTATTTATTTACCTAGCATATCGGTGTGAACGCCTTGCCACCGGCAATGAGGATATATAGTCTTCCCCGAACGCGGACAAACACACACACACACACACACACACACACATGCAGCACAAAGCTCGCGCGTAAACTGATATAAAAGGGTTGACCGCCTCATAGCCGCGCCGCGTAGCCCGCCACACTGTTGGTTGCTTTTCGAGGAAATATCGCACTTGCCCCCCCCCCCCCCCAACTCGCGGCCGAATGTGAACCAAGCAGACACGCGGCCCAAGACCGCCCGGGCACCACCACCACCTTCAGCAGACTGAGAGAGAGAGAGAGGCCTAAGTTTGAGTCGAAGGAGCTAAAGTTAATTAGTTGTACACAGTGTTCTGAATTTGCCTGCGAGTTAAGTGCAAAATTTTACATCTTGACACTTCGACATCTTGACTTCTTTCTCAGCGGTGTCCGCAAACGGAAACAATTTTTTTCCCGATATTTTTAGTTTCAAAGCAGCAGTCCAACAGAATTAAAACCCAATTAATAAGAATGAAACAAAAACAAGCACTCGTTTTTTTCCCCTCCCAGGTGTGAAATTTATGCCTTCGAATTCCAATCGTGACTAAGAGCGCGGGTCGGCACGCGCCGCAATGCCGAGGTGATGCCCACCTACGCACCGCCTCGCCGCTCTCTCTCTCTCTCTCTCTCTCTCTCTCTCTCTCTCTCTCTCTCTCTCTCTCTCTCTCTCCTCCCAGAGTGCGACAGGGACGGAGCGACGCCCCTCGGAACCAGCCGCTAGGCCTGCCACCTGTGGAGCCACTTTATTGGAGCGGTAAATCTGTCGAATCTAGTGGCGCTTTCCTCGCCTCGGAGGTTAATTGGTGCGAGAGAGAGGGAGAGAGGGAGGGAGAGAGAGAGAGAGAGAGAGAGAGAGAGAGAGAGAGAGAGAGAGAGAGAGAGAGAGAGAGAGAGAGAGAGAGAGAGAGAGAGAGAGAGAGAGAGAGAGAAGGTGACGCACAGGGCGGAGGGATGCACACCTTCGATTCTGTATCAAGACGGCAGTTCTTTCTTCTCGAAACAGCAGACCACACTGCGGCGCGTTTCGAGCTCCAGAGTCGCTAAACGGGACTCGAACCGAACGTGTGACCCCACCAATGGATTGCTCGTCCGGAGAGCAGTACATTGGTGGGGTCACACGTTCGGTTCGAGTCCCATTTAGCGACTGTGGAGCTCGAAACGCGTCCGGGCCCTCGACCGCCTCCACCGGTTACAGTGGCGGCGCGGCGCGCAGCGAGGCGGGGCGGCGGGGCGGCCGGGCCCGCACTCGGGGCCACCCGTCCGGTCCAATCTCAATATTTAAATCGGCCGGCGTCGTAAAGCAAAAAGTCAAGGGGGCCGCAACAGCGGCGCCGCGTCCTTAGAGGCAACGAGGCAACGCGGACTGCAGCACTCGCACCGCACTACTGCACTGCCAAAGTCACGGCCTTCCTCGGCCACATTTTTCTCACATTTGCGCCCGTTTACTCTCTCTGATTGATCGTTTCCGGGGAGGGGGTAGCGTGTGTGTGTGTGTGTGTGTGTGTGTGTGTGTGTGTGCAGGGACGTTGGCGGCCCGATCAGCCGCGCGGCCCCACTGGACTGGACCCACGGGACCCCCCGCTGCCAGCGTAATTGTATGCCCAATAGAGCGATTATAGCCCCCCCCTCTCTCTCTCTCTCTCTCACACACACATACACACGTCGTAACTTGTGACACTATAAACAAAGGCGGACGTGTTATAATGAGAGTTTTCGGGCCGTAGTGCCATTTGACGGCTTGCATCAACGGGTTCCGCGCGCGCCATCAGACGGCAATCGATTAATTTGCTCCGACACACACACACACACACACACACACACAGAGAGAGAGAGAGAGAGAGAGAGAGAGAGAGAGAGAGAGAGAGAGAGAGAGAGAGAGAGAGAGAGAGGCTGAAATCAAAGCTGCGACTTGAAAGTGCCGATGCGTCCGCCCACGCACACACACACACACACACTCGGTGCGATCGAAGGCATATAACACGCGGCGCGACCAGACAGCGTGGTGCCGCGCGCGGTCCCGAGGTGCATTCTCATTTGAATTCCCATCAGAATTATGGCGAGAGAGAGAGAGAGAGAGAGAGAGACGCCGTGGCCAGTAAATCACCATCTATTACATATCGAAAGGTGCGAGGTTTC